AAGATGGTAACGATAACCCTATATGCAAAACAGAAAAAGAGACACAGATGTATAGAACAGACTTGTGGACTCTGTGGGAGAAGGCGAGGGTGGGATGTTTCAAGAGAACAGCATCGAAACATGTATATGATCTAGGGTGAAACAGGTCACCAGCCCAGGTTGGATGCATGAGACAAGTGCTCGGGCCTGGTGCACTGGGAAGACCCAGAGGGATCGGGTGGAGAGGGAGGTGGGAGGGGGGACCGGGATGGAGAGTACATGTAAATCCATGGCTAATTCATTTCAATGTATGACAAAAACCACTGCAATGTTGTAAAGTAATTAGCCTCCAACTAATAAAAATAAATGAAAAAAAAAAAAGTGGGTGGTTGATGGAATAGCTTCAAAATTACAGGAAGCAAAGGTTTCCAGAAGTGGTTGATTAGGAGAGGTGTCCAGGTTCTTGATATAATTGGAGAACAAATAGAGAAAAGGGAGTGAGTCTGAAAACATTAAGAGATTTTGGTCATGGAGTAAGAGATTGGAATTCAGAATTTCAGAGGTAGAGCAGAAATTATGGGCAAGGCTGGGAAAGCTGAAGTGGAGTGGAGCTCAGAACCTCTCATTTCTTGGGTTTACATAGGTCATCCTCAGGGACATTGATGATGGTGGTGCTTAGAGAGGAGAAGGCTTTTGAACTAGGAACCTGAGTTTCATGTGAGAGTTGACCAGAAGTGTAGTAGATGGCTAGGACAAGAATAAACTAGCCAGAACACATGAACCTCAAAGGAGACAGCATTTTCCTTTTCACAGGAGTGATGATGTTAGATGTGGTAATGGAGAGCTAAAAGACTATATAGCCTTTTCTGCTCAGAGTGGTGGGAATTCTGGAGGCTGCAATGAAGACGATTGGGAGGGAGGAGAACAGCCTAAGGATGTTCTTGTTCAGTCCCTGAGTCCTGTCTGACTCTCTGCAAGCCCATGAACAGCAGCATGCCAGGCTTCCCTGTCCTTCACTATCTCCCGAAGTTTGTTCTTACTCATGGTGTGAATAAAAGAAATAGAGACAAAAATCAAGAGGAACTTATTTTGGACAGTTGTGAGTAATGGCAGTGATGAAAAGCACAGACATCTGAATGCTACTTTGGAGTAGAGTTTTCAGGTGGCACAGGCTGTGCCCCACATAGTGTTGGAGGCCTCACCGGGCTGATAGTTCGCAGTCTTTGCTTAGGGTTGGGCAACAGGGAAAAGCTCCTCTGTTTATTGACCATTCACATCGTATGTACGTACATTTATGTGCTGGTTTTTCCCTATCTTAAAACTTAAAAGAGTTGAAAAAAAAAAAAACTTCGAAGAGTTGGAAAACAGGAATAGTTGGCTGAAGATGAATTAGAAATGTAAAAAACCAGTTAAAAAAACCTAAAATTAGATGGAAATGCTTTAATAAAAGTACCTTAGGAGTTGCAGAATGGTATCAGTTGAGAATATTAATTTCTCAATTAATAACAAATTCAACCCTCTATTGACCAGCAGTGTCAGTAATTAATTTCCTATTAGGCCAAATTCTATTTGGTCAGTTTTCTTTTGCTTAGTTAGATCACCTGCTATGGCTCTTTTTTCCACCTGCCAAAGAGCACAGAGCCTTTTTGCCTCTTATTTTCTGATTTACTGATATATTAAAACATTTTTCCAAAACTTTCTACTCTCCCGTTTCAGTGTTGTGGTTAGTTTTCATCTGCTTTTATCTATGGTGACATTTCTTCACCTCTCTACCTGCCCATTCCTTAAAAGGTATTGCAGCTGTTGTTGAAATTTAAAAGTATGCCTTGAATTGAAAAAGAAATGGAAACCATAGGTCTGGGGGCAGTGTATACTTTCTTCCCCCAAATGAATAAGACATTCTGACTCTTGGTTAAGAGGAGCAGTACCTCAGTGTGATTTGCAGTGGGGCATCAGAGTGTGCATGAAAACATGCAGTACCACAGGTGACTGGCTGATGTAGGGGAAGGTCTCCCACATAGGTTTTTAGGAAGTTCTGTATTTTGAACAAAGTTCATCTATTAGTGGAATTAATGTTGTTGATTATTAGGCATTATGTTATGCATAATCTGAAATGCAGCTTCTTAAACAGTATCTCTTTTCCTGAGTAGAGGAAAAATTCTCTTGGCCTGATGAGAAAAATATCCCAGTTTGATCTCAGAAATTTTTATTTAAGAGATATTTAAACTTTTCATTTTCATAATGTCCCAAAAGTAACTTTTGATTTATTTGGTAATTGTTAATTTCTGTCATTTTTCAACTGTTGATTTACTGCTAGTGGCAAATTTGATTATAGCATATAGTATGCTGCTGCTCCTGCTAAGTCGCTTCAGTTGTGTCCGACACTGTGTGACCCCATGGACGGCAGCCCACCAGGCTCCTTCGTCCCTGGGATTCTCCAGGCAAGAACACTGGAGTGGGCTGCCATTTCCTTCTCCAGTGCATGAAAGTGAAAAGTGAAAGTGAAGCCGCTCAGTCGTGTCCTACTCCTAGAGACCCCATGGACTGCAGCCCACGAGGCTCCTCCGTTCATGGGATTTTCCAGGCAAGAATGCTGGAATGGGTTGCCATTGCCTTCTCCGATAGCATATAGTATAATAGTCTGTTTAATCTTTGATTGAAGGAAAACATACATTAATAAAGGTTTTTATTTTTTTAGAATCTGACATAGCTATATTTGGGCGGCCCCATGGACTGTAGCCCATCAGGCTCCTCTATCCATGGGGACTCTCCAGGCAAGAAATAACTGGAGTGGGTTGCCATGCCGTCCTCCAGGGGATCTTCGCAACCCAGGGATCCAGGTTTCCCGCATTGCAGGTGGATTCTTTACCATTTGAGCCACCAGGGAAGCCCTGTTTGGGAAAGCAAAATGTACTTTAATGCCTTGTTCTAGATGCAGTAAAAAATAATGGGAATAAATGTGTTCTAAAGAAGTGGGGGGGAAGCAAGTTTTGTTTTACTATCAAAAAAGGTTAAAAGCTAGAGGGATTGATGATTTCAAAGTCTTTTAGAAATGGTTTATATTCCTCTGCTTTAGTTCTTATTTCAATTCTAAGAACTGAGCTCTTCATAAATTATTTTTCTGCTATGAGAATATTATTATTATTCTTTCTTAAGTAATTGATAAAATTCTAACCCAGTCCCCTGTTTTTAGTTACTTTAAGTTGAACTGTGAAGAAGCGGTTCATCCTATACTTCTCCAATATTCTGTATAATAATTGATAATCACAATGATGGTCAGGAAGATACTGTGTACTATATGCCCATACACAAAGCGAGTTTTTTCTTTAAAAATTTACTTCAGAAAAGAGAGAAATACATTTGGGTCTATACATAGACTACATTTTTACTATAAATTTCTTTATTTTTTTTGAAAAACAAAATACTCTTTGGTAAAAAGCCTAAAACTGTTTCAACCCAAGCTGATTTTTTTTTCCATTTATTTTTATTAGTTGGAGGCTAATTACTTTACAGTATTGTAGTGGTTTTTGTCATACATTGCCATGAATCAGCCATGGATTTACATGTATTCCCCATCCCGATCTCCCCTCCCACCTCCCTCACTACCTCCCACCTCCCTCTCTACCTCCCACCTCCCTGTCTTGATTTTGAATGTATAAAGAGTTTGTTTGTTGGATCCAGTTAAAAAGGAATAAAAAATTTTAACAGATATATAATAACTTTTCCTAGGTACATGACCTTAAGGTAGATGCCATTGAAAATGGACTTTCATGTTCTCTATTCCACTTAACAGATTTGAATTTAAAACAATACAGTTGGTAAATACTTGTGGAAGTCATAAATATATGCTACAGGAGTAAAAAGGCCAACTATTTCAGTAGTTAGACAAATGGAAATTGTGTTTTAGGATTAATTTGCAGCAATGCATTGAATATGTATTTAAAAAGTACTGTATCTTAAACAACTTAAATGGAAGTGAGGATGATTTGCTTATAAAAGTGTTTTAGATGACAAAAAATGAATCCAGTGGTAAGGAATGCACTGATGTAAAAAATGTGTATAAAGATTTTTGAATGAAACTGTTATGTGAAAAATGAAAGTAAGAGAAAAAGCAGTATTTAAAAATTATCATTTATTAATATTATTTTAAATATATATATACATCTAAATTAATTTAAATCTGTGAGTAAATGTTTGGCTGTTTTAATCTATATTCCTAGAAATTTCTGGGCTTCCCTGGTAGCTCAGCTGATAAAGAATCCTCCTGCAATGCAGGAGACCCTGATTCAATTTCTGGGTCGGAAAGTTCCCCTGGAGAAGGGATAGGCTACTCTCTCCAGTATTCATGGGCTTCCCTGGTAGCTCAGACTGTAAAGAATCTGCCTGCAGTGCAGGAGACCTGGATTCAGTACCTGGGCTGAGAAGATCTGTTGGAGGAGGCATGGCAGCCCACTCCAGTATGCTTGCCTGGAGAATCCCCTTGGACAGAGGAACCTGGCAGGCTACACTGCATGAGGTTGCAGAGTCGGACACAACTGAGCGACTAAACACAGCACAGAAATTTCTGCTCAAGTTGGCCAGCAGGCTTTGTTTTATATATTTTTATTAGGAAGTTGGTCAGTCACCTTACATTTGGGATTTCTATTTATGCTTGTATGGTATTAAGTTATATTTATTATACTTCATTTAAGATGAAGAGTGTATAATATGTTTTGAGAGTTCTGTCAAAAAATGTTTTGGCTTAAAGAAAAAGCTTTAGTTATCCTGAGTAAACTTAATTTTGTGAGACAATTCATTTCTATAATAATTCTCATGTTGTTATATATAGATTATTTTTAAAAGAAGCATAATTTGATTTCTCTTTTTAAAAAAGCTTTTAAAAGTTAATACCTCTATCTAGTAAATGAAGAAACAAAAACTTCAGCTTTTCAGTTTTGACTCTTACTTACCTAGATCCATTAATTAGTTTTTATGTTAATATATTAATAGTGATTTTTTTTATTAATTAAAAAAAATTTCAGCTGTTCCTTTCCCCCCAACACATCGCTTGACATCTGAAGAAGTATTTGATATGGATGGGATACCCAGGGTTGATGTTCTGAAGAACCACTTAGTAAAAGAAGGTCGGGTAGATGAAGAAATTGCACTTAGAATTATCAATGAGGGTGCTGCCATTCTTCGGAGAGAGAAAACCATGATAGAAGTAGAGGCTCCAATTACAGGTACACTTATTTATGTTTTGGATATTATTTGTTTTACTGTACCACTGTTTACATACCTAATTATAAAACTGTTTATTCTTCATATTGTATACTAAATTAGTATTACATGGACATTATCTTGAATTTCCAGATTATTTCCTATAACTTTTGAAAGTTTTTGCCTGTTTTCAACGAAGAAACATGATCCTAAATAATCTGAGTGCAGAAGTTAGTCTAATATGCTTTTACGAAGGTTTCATCAGTTGAGTTGGCCATCATTGAATTTGATTCAACAAATACTTATTTACTATGCTTTCAGTCATCAGGGGCAAATACCTCAGTGCCATATCAGATACCAAAAATGATCATTTAGAAGTCATGAGAAAGTATGGAGTTAGAATGGATATCTTACTGCCACCAATATAATTTTATCATCCTAAGATGTGCATGCTTGACTTCCTAAAGAAGAGTTTTGTAAATTTAGATGAAAATTTTGTCACTTACTACAAATTTTAATACTCTTGTTATATCTTGTTCTAGATCTTGAGCACATGAACAATTGGGTACACATTATCCCTGTCATGACTCTTCATAGATTGCTTCCGTCTTAGACCTTTCCTGACAGAATTTTATGCTCTCTCTTATGTAAACGAAATTAGAATATAAGTAAAATTTGTTATTTTAGAGGTTTTTTTTTTTCATATCTAATAATCTTCTTGTTTCAGTGTGTGGTGACATCCATGGCCAATTTTTTGATCTGATGAAACTTTTTGAAGTAGGAGGATCACCTGCTAATACACGATACCTTTTTCTTGGTGATTATGTGGACAGAGGTTATTTTAGTATAGAGGTAATAATCATATACTGTCATTTGATTTGCTTTTAAGTGTTATCATAGATGATTTCTATTACTTCCTAATAAAATAAGTTCCTTAAATTACCTGTATTGGGTTCTTTTTAATACCTCTGCATATTCTGAAGTTTTTAGGTAAAGCTATTATTTATTCCTCTTTTGCCTTTCAAACTGTTCTCTTAATTTTTTATGTGTTAGTGTAATTACCATTTCCCAGTGGAAATTATAAGCAAAATGATGGACCTTTATTGCCCTGTTATCTAGTGGCCCTAAGGAGCTAAGGAGCTAAGGCTCTCTTGCCCTTCAAGGCATTCAGCCATGCAAAAAAAAAAAAAAAAGATTAATTGTATTTTTCTAATTAAATAAAATAGAATGCTTTTATCACTTAAACTCTAGTGCTTCTATCTTTCCTCCTGTAGCCATTAAGACCCAAGTATATCATATGGAATTTTTATGTATTCTGAAAGTCTTAATCTGCTTTTAAAAACTTGAGAGGCATTAAAATGACCTGTTTATAATCACTTAATAGTAGATTGTTCTTTTTGCTTCTTTTACATTTCTAATTATAAAAATTAAAATAAGATATAGAACAATTTGTATTTTCTAATATATACATTTTTTTCCTTTTTTGAAATGAAAATGAACTGCTACTATAATGTTCTGTAGCTTCCTTTTTTTATTAATTCCTATGCTCTGATGTCATGCCAGTTCAATTATAAATTTACAGCATCATTTTTAATAGCTGCATTGTATTCTGTCGACTAAACTAGTCACAGTCAATTTAATCAATTCTTATTGTTAGGCATTTAAGGTGTTCCCAGTTTTTTGCCACTGCAATTGATGCTTCAGTGGACCATATTATTTATACGTCTTTATATACTTGCCCAGTTATTTCTATAGGACAAATTCTTAGAGGTTAAATTGTTGAGTAGAAGCTCTGCAAATAGATAGGTGTGTTAGCATTAATGTGTTTCAAGCATATTCTAAGCAGTTAACATACTTGATTAATTTTTACAACAAAGTTATGAGGTAAGTACTGTTATTTTATCCATTTTTTAGAGGAGCCTGAGGCTTGAAAAGGTTAAATAACTTGCCCAAGGTCATATTGTTAGTAAGTGGTGGAGCTAGGCAGTTTGTACCTGTGCTTTTAACCATGTCCTCCACTGGATATTGAAACCTTACCTGATGAATTTCTATGCCTGTTACTGTTGTTTATATCTCCTCTAATGTTTCCAACCTCCGTTCTGAGGTATGCTAGGATCCTTGGTGCGAAAGGGAGCTCAGGGCTCTGTCCATCCAAATTCCCTTGGGGATTTTATTATCCTGAGTTGTTTTTTCTGTTCATAGTGTCATCATCAGACCTCTCAGTCTTCCCTTGGAGCCTTCAAGAAAGGTAGAAATTGGCTCTTCTTGATAGAAAGATTGGGGCCTTTGACAGAAACAAAAGAACAATTTTAGGAAGCTTAGTTGGTAACAGAGCATTTGGTATTAGAGGGTTTTGTAGCAGACTTTTTTTTTTTAACAAGATTTTTTTTTAAAGGTTTTTTTGTGGGGTTTTCTTTTTTTTGATGTGGACCAGTTTTAAAGTCTTTATTGAATTTGTTATACTTTTGTTTTTGTTTTCTGTTTGGTTTTTTTGACACGTGGGATCTTAGTTCCGCCATCAGGGACTGAACCCGCATCCCCTGCACTGTAAGTCTTAACCACTGAACCACCAGGGAAGTCCCTGTAGCTGACTCTTTTAATTCATTTTATTGTTGGAAAGTAATAAAGAATCAGAATAAGTGAAAAGGGCAGGTATTTATTAAGTACTTACCAGGCTTAATTATTTTTTTTCTTGTGAATAAAATGAAAGTGTTACACATTTCAGTTAACCTTAACTTGTTTAACACATTTCAGTATATCTTAACTGGTTTAAAACAAAGTTTGTGGGAATTCCCTGGTAGTCCAGTGGTTAGGACTCCATGCTTTCACTGCCAAGGACCCAGGTTTGATCCCTGGTCAGGAAACCAAGACCTGCAAGCTATGCAGTGCAGCCAAAAAAATAAATAGAGTTTGTATTTTGTTTTTTCTATGTGATCATGTGAACCAAACTTATTTATATATGAAATAGTCTTTCCTTTTTTTAAACCAAATAAATAAAATGTGAGTCTGTTTCTTATGTTAGGTGTATTTAGAGAAAAATAGCTGCTGTTCTAATATTCTTTTATTTAAAATTGCATTGTCTTTGAATCATTTCAGATAATAAGAACCTAATTAGATAAGGCAACATTCATAACTAACAAAGTAAACATAAAACATGACTTTTCTCTTCATTAGGCAGTGTGGCATAATGCTTAAGATCAGAGGATTAGAATCCTATCTCCATTACTTAGAGGTTTTGTGATTTTGGACAAGTTACTTAAGCTCTTTGCTTCTGTTTCCTCATTTGTAAAACAGAGATAATATTACATACTTCATAGGATTGTTTGAGGAATAATTAGTGCTTGGCATATTATGAATACTCAGTAAATATTAGCTACTTTTACTTTTGACATTGTTACTGTTTTACTTATTGGTATACCTAAGGAGGAGACCAATCTGCTAGTTGTTTTTACAGCAAACAATTTGTAAATCTAAAGTAATTAAATTACTTGACTCATTTATTCGACAAATATTTACTGCTCTTCTATTACTTGCTAGGTACTTTTCTGAGTGGTAAATCAGGTGTGAATAAGACCACAAAGTCCCTAATTTCATGGAGCTTATGTTTTAGTAAGGGACAAAGAGAAAAAGATAATAAAAAGTTAATGAAGATAATAGAAATTATAAGGGTAATAGGGTTAGATGAAATGAAACAAAGATCAAACAGCTTAGTTAAACAAAAATATAAGATTAATTCACTGGAAACATTTTCTTTTGTAGTGTGTCTTATATTTATGGGTCCTGAAGATTCTATATCCAAGTACATTATTTCTTCTGAGAGGCAACCATGAATGCAGACACCTTACTGAATATTTTACCTTTAAGCAGGAATGTGAGTACTGCCATGAGAACTATTTTCACTTCCTCAGGGTTCTTTTAGAGTGATGTGGGTAGTAAGAGTTTAAAGATTTTACAGTGCAACATGTAAGAACAGATTTTGTGTCCAAACATGTAAAAGCTTTCAGGAAGATTGTCTAGCGTTCTCTAGTGTTTAATATTATTCAGATGTTTTCATTTCAATATTTCCTATTAAATTTGATTTTTACATATGTACTTAGGAACAGTTTTGAGCACTGTGTATAGTTTTAATTTTAGAATTATTTTTTTCTAACAGGAAGAATATGAACCAAGTGAAAAGAAATGTTGCATTGGAGATTTCTCTCCACCTATATTGAGACATTCCCATGAACATTCTTAGCAAATTAATCATCCTGTCATCACTGCAGATTGTTTTATTTATTTTTTAATTATGCAGATTGTGTTACACACACACTTGATTAATTGAAGGTCTTAGTCTACAATATTTATCCCATTTCTCTCTTAAATTTTTATGGCTGTGGTAATCTAATAGCTGTAAGCAATCATATAGTATAGAGTAGAGTTTGACCTTTTCTCACATCTGCTAGCTGTGTACTTGTTAGTGCTCATGGCTATATTAAGTCTTAGAATTAAGATTTAAAATTAGAAAATAACTTCAGAATTACTGAGACGCAGAACATGATGCAATGAAGATCAATATAGTGACAGGTAGTGACAGAAGTGGCAAACTCTGATATAACTTCAAAGATCAGGTGGGTAACTTAAATGAATAAAAGATGAGGCCTGGAAAGTGCATGCTTGACCTCAGAGCAATCAAATTAAAGTTTTTATTAAACTGTTGTTGGAAAACAGGTCTGTCATCAGACTACCAGTTTATAACCTCTGATTGCTGGATATAGATCTTCTCATATTTGAATGTTACAATGTTAAGCAGTGAAATAGGAACTGAATTCTTTTTTTCTTATACAAGTAACAAGCCGTCCAGCAAAATCCCACTAAAAATAAAATATCCAGGAATTTAAAAGTAAACGTGCAAAGGAATACGTATGACAGACTTTTAAAAGTAGATAACAGTTTAATTTGGTAGAGTCTTTCTTGTGTCATGTTGACTTCTTGCTTCGCTGCTCATTTTAAGTGTTCATTGTAGGCTAAAGGAAACCCTGGTCCTCCAAAATAGGAATAAGATCTTTTCTTTTTTTAAAATTGGATGGACTTTGAATTTTGTTGTGATGTTATAGTAGTCTTGCCTATAACAAAAAAGTAGTCACTGACTCGTAGAATAAAATAATTAATACTATTTACCTTTAAGTATTGTACGATTTTTGCCTTACTTGGCCTATAAAGGTAAAGAGTTGAGCTATTTTTAGAGATTTGACTTATTTACTTTTAGTAATATTTTATGACTATCTGCTGCATACACAAAATAAATTTAAAGAGAGCAAATATTTTGTCTTTGTAAGTACAGTAACATTGCTTATTTTTATTGACTCTTATGGGGTAAGATGCTGGCCTTTTTTTAAAAAAAAATTTTTTATGCAGTAAAATTTATTCTTTGAAGTGTTTAGTTCTCGGCTTTAACAAACGATTAAAGCTGTCTACCATCACAGTCACAATACAGAAAAGTATCATCCCATGAAGTCCTCCTTGTTGCCTTTTTGTACTCTCCCCTTTACCAACTCTGAACCCCTGGCTACCACTTGGCTGTTATCCATATCTTTAATTTTTTGCCTTGGTTTTAATAGTCATTTATATATATGTGCATGTAAATATTTTAAATTATTAACAAATTATACAGTTTTCAATTACTGAATTTTTTCTTTCTCTAGGTAAAATTAAATATTCAGAAAGAGTCTATGAAGCTTGTATGGAAGCTTTTGATAGCTTGCCTCTTGCTGCACTTTTAAACCAACAATTTCTTTGTGTTCATGGTGGACTTTCACCAGAAATACACACACTGGATGATATTAGGAGAGTGAGTATATATTTTAGTAACAAGAGTTGATTCCTATTTATAGCATTTTGTTGAGCAGAGACTAGAAACTTCAAACCTCTCTTCACTGCCAAGATTAGGTAATGGTAAAAATTAATATACTGATATTTTAAGAAAATATCTTCTAACCATTCAGAACAATGTAGTATGCACAGTATTCAAAGTTGGTACCACTTCCCTTTGTCCATTCCATTCTCACTTTTGACAAGTTATTTCTGCTCTTTGTTTCTTTTCTTTCACAGTTAGATAGATTCAAAGAGCCACCTGCATTTGGACCAATGTGTGACTTGCTATGGTCCGATCCTTCTGAAGATTTTGGAAATGAAAAATCACAGGAACATTTTAGTCACAATACAGTTCGAGGATGTTCTTATTTTTATAAGTAAGGAAAAATATTCAAGCTTAATCTCATTTTAGTTGTTAAAATAGCATATGCTTTCATTATATAGAAAATCATTATTTTACTTAATTTTCTCTTTTTCCCCACAGCTATCCAGCAGTGTGTGAATTTTTGCAAAACAATAATTTGTTATCGATTATTAGAGCTCATGAAGCTCAAGATGCAGGGTAAGAATTCTGTTTCCCTGACCTAAATTAACACCTTATGTACAAATCAAACGTAGTAACCATGAATGATGCTTTACGATGCATATTAAGTTATTTGTTTTGCAGCTATAGAATGTACAGAAAAAGTCAAACTACAGGGTTCCCTTCATTAATAACAATTTTTTCGGCACCTAATTACTTAGATGTCTACAATAATAAAGGTAAGATGTTGTTGATAAAAAAATTGTTAAACAACTTAGTATTTTAATTGACTTATTTTTTGAAAATATAGTAGAAAAGAGGCATTGTTTGAAACTGTAACTATCCAAGTCTCTTTATGAAAAAATATAAGATATAAGGGAGGGGAAAGGACAAGAAATGAAAATCCAAAATGTGAAACTTAAGTCATTTATTACCATTTCACAACTTTGTCATTCACAAAAACTGCCTGTGAAAGAATGTTCTGAGGTAACTCTGTCAAGTAAAAATGCACATGATTTTCTCAAACTCCCCTTTCTTAAATCTTTTCTCTTATAATCAAGAGAATGTTTTCTTGTTTGCATAAAGCTGTTGCTGCTCCTTTGACCATTTCATGTATTTGAAGTGTGTGGTTGTTTATCATGTTTCTTGTTTTATGTTCACTGATGTAGGTTTTCTTTTCCTTTCTTATTCTCTACTTTTATATCCACTGCCCCATGATGATTTGTAATTGAACTTTTAATTAATTCAATCCGACCTTCTTTCAGGAAGACAGTCTTCCCTTTCCTTTCTTTTTGCTGCTCTTTCTTCCTTTTTTTCTTATGTCTTTGTAATTTACCTTCTTTTCTAGTGGTTTATGTTCCACCTCCTTCCCTCCAAATTTGATCTGTCTGTAACAACTGGGTTTCCTTTAACTTGGAACATAATTCATTGAGAGATAATACCAAAGGATCTTAATCTAGTTAAGTGTGTGCCAAGGACATTGAAGATGAGCTTAAATATGTTTAGGCAGTTCACATTTTCAGAAGAGGAAATCAAGGAGCCAGCTCCTATGCTGTCTTGACATGTCAGGAATTCAGTTGACTATGCCATAGTTCCCAAGGTCAGACAGGAGTGGTTGTGCCAGGAGGAAAGAACAGAAGGTTAAAGATTTTTTAAAGTACATTTAATGAGGTCATTGCTAAATTTGGGTTGTGGTGTAAGTTCAAAAGAGGAGCAAAATAGAGTTTTTGGAAGATAATAGGTGATAGTTAAAAGGTTAAAACATTTACCTGAGATCAGACAGTAGCAGTAGCAGGCTATCAAATAGCTTGGATACAGGGTATGCTGTAAGAACTCCATACTATATTAATTACCAAAACAACCGTACCATTGAGATTAACCGAGTTGGTGGTCTTTAGAAACAATAATGCCTCCAAGGATTATACCAGTGCTAAAATAATCTTTTAAATTATATCTTATTTTATAAATTTTGAAACTTCTATAAAGATAGCTAATGAAGCAGGCTTCATTTTTAAAGAAAAATATATCTAAGTTTGGACTCCATTCTCCAAATTGATTTGTTACATTTAACTTTGTACCTGTAACCTCCCTTTGTTAGTATTAAAGGAACTAGTGTTCAGTGCTCACTTGATTACTGCCATACTGGTTGTCCTTTGTCAGTTTAACTCAGGAGATTAAAGGATACTTTTCTTAGTACTCCGAAAAGAAACTCAAACCATTCAATCTGTCTTGTCAAAATCAAACATCTCTTGATAGTGCTGATTCTGTACATAGTGTTAATAATTTGAGAGCTTACATGGTACAGGACATGTTCGTAATGTTTCATTCCATCTATAGGGCAATTTTCTAGATTCTTTATCTTTCTCTTTTTTTAAACTAAAAGCTTGGTATCAGTCCTTAATTTCTGAGGCTAAATTTGAAATACATTTATTTCATGGGAATTTCATCAGAGAAACAAGTGTATTACTTTTGACTCTACATTAGCTAGAATCCCAAATCATGGAATTTAATACATACATTTCAGTGCTTTACATTAAAATGAAAAAAAAAGTAAGCACATAACTATATAGTATCTGCCAAACACTTTATACTTTTTTGTACTTTCACGTGAACAATATTCTCTGACCTTAAACTTCTGAGATAGGCAGGGTGAACATTTTAATCCTGTTTTATAAATGAGAAACAAATTAGTTAAATAATTTACTATTATACATATGGTATATACTGTAGTTTAGATTAGAATCTAGCCCATTAATCCAGTGTTCCATAAAATAATATAAGCAATGACTGAAATCTTTATCAGGTTAATTTAAGGTATTATTTATATCAACTTATGAAACTTTAGAAAGATACTTGAAATTGAGATGAGTATGTTACCTTTGAGTTTTTCTCTTGGTATTTTAATGGAATTTTTTTCTAAATGAAGTGAAATATTTCTTTGTAGTAGTTTCACTTGATTTCTTCCAATACATGAAATAAGTACATTCCTACATTCATAAATAAAATGTTCCAAATTGTTTCTTTTTCTTCTCTGTGTTTTTTTTTTTTCTTGCTTTATTTCCATTTAGCTGTCCTTTTCAGGTTGCCTGCAACTAAAAAGACCCTCTTAAATTCCTCCAACTTGTATGAACTCTTAGACCTAGAAAATTGCTCATTGCTGTTCTGTGTTTCCTCAAAAAAACTGAGTTCTCACAATTTTGGATTTAGTAAACGTGCATGTTGGATTATTTGTATTATAAAGTACAACAAGCATTCTAGAAAGATTGGGAATTTCATTAATAATAAGAAGTAAATATCTGAGTATGTTCTACATAAAACTGTGTTGGAAGCAAAAAGTGTATTACTACTAAAAATTAGTTCCTACCTCTTTCTACTACCCTTCATTCCACTCATCCCTTGACTTCCCACCCCCCCTTAAAAGATATTTTTTCTGCTTTTATGTGTTTTAGACTTTTGGAGCTAAAGACAAATTGTTACATTGACATTCAAACTTATCTTGCAGCTGCTGTATTAAAGTATGAAAATAATGTGATGAATATTCGACAGTTTAACTGTTCTCCACATCCTTACTGGTTGCCCAATTTTATGGATGTTTTCACATGGTCTTTACCGTTTGTTGGAGAAAAAGGTATGATTTTTATTTTTAAAAAATTGTTAGACTGTTATATTTATTCCAGTTTACTATTGCAGGCACATACTACTTGCTAAAGGGAGCTGAAGTCTAGTTTCACTGTGGCTACAGCTCTGCTTATGTCAGTGGGTGTGGATATGAGAGCCTCAAAGATATTTTAGTTAGCTGTTTACAGCCCCCATGTGAGGGTGTCTGGGGGACTGGGAGAAGACTTATAAATAGCCTGATGTTGTCTTCAGCTGTTGGGTTTTCTTTCTTTTTTTCTTTAGCTTAAATCTTTTATGAAGGAATGGAGAGATGGCTTTGCTTTGGAACTGACGCTTTTGCATATTTTAAATTACTCTTGGGGATGTCATGGCAATTCATGGGAGAATTTAATAGCCTTCATTTGGGGCAGTATTAGTCATTTTGTAGCAGCTCTGTACTGTCAGAAATGATAAAGAGAAATTCAGGTTCTGACCAAATATTGCTTCTCCTGTATGGAGCAATATGTATATGTATATAATTTTAGTGGTAATGGTTTCCTGATAATTTAGAGATTCCTATTAGTATGTATTTAATGTGCTTAAAAAAGCATAAATGCTATTTAAGAGGTTTTATTTTTGTCTTTTATTTTAGTTCTGTAGAGTTCTTAAGACTTCCTTACTTTATCACATTCTTCTTTTTCCATTTTAGTGTTAATTTTCCCATGAGGCAACACTTCAGTTTCCATATGTGAAATATGAGTATTAGAGTACAGATATGATTGTAAAACATTTTGTTCTATATCCCTCTCTATTTTTTCTCACCTCCTCTATTTTACAAAATGTTCCTTTCTGCCTGAGATATATTACTTCTGCCAAGGCATTTTTGGTTCTAAAATTCAGAGTTACTACTTAAACTGTATGTTCAACAGGTTTTTTGCAGATTCCCTTTGGGCTTCATCAGTTACTCCGTAGGTCAACATTAATATGGAAACAGAATTACCCACTTTAGCATTTGAGAAGGGGGCCAGTAAAGGGCTTAGGTGCAAGGGATGCATTACACTTATAACCTTCTATCTTTGGTATATGAGAAATAGTTCAATCATAGCCTCATCAGGCTAAAGGGAATTTAAGAATTCATCTTGTTTATTCTCCTGCCTCCAGGCTAGACTGCAACACAACTATTTTAATGTAGTATGAGTGGGATGGGGGGTAGGGAAAGCAGGGAAGATAGGTGGGAGGAGAATGGATATTTCTAATTTGATTTTCTGATGCCTCCACGAAAAAGGAAATAGTTCATTATATCTAATCTAAGTGTTTATGCTATGAGTATTCAAGCAAAGAGAAGTTTATAGGTTTTCTCAACTAATGCACCTGTCAAAAACCAGGACATCTGATTTTTGCCCTGGTTTTAGACAGAATTATAGATCTCCTAGTGATCTTAACAATCATATAGTCTAACTCCTTTTGAGAGATGAGAAAACAATCTAGTTTCTGTGGATTGCTCATAAGTGGAAGTGGATTTCTTTCAGTGATCTGTATTTGAAGTCTGCTGCAAAGTGATCTTTTGTTCTTTTTTGCCACTCTACATCATCTTAGCTATTGTGAGGAAGTATTCAAACTATCTGACCATTTTTGTTGTTTTTCTGTGGATCTTCTCTAAATTATTCATATCTTTCTAAAATCAGAATTTCAGATTTGAACATTATACACAAATAGAATTCTAACCACTGTTCAGCACAGTAAGAAAATTTTCTTAAACTCTTTGCATATTTTTCCATTTTAATACATGTTAGCTATTTAAATAGCCTATTTACTTCTTCATTCTAATGAAGAATTTTCTTTTGGTGTGAAATTTTGCAAATGACTCTTCATTGGATTCCACATTGAGAAAACCAGTTTGACTCTGACCTAGTCCCTGGGAAGCAACTAACCTACTCAGAGGCTTCCTTGGAGGCTGGTTTAATCCCAGAGTTAGATGAAAGTAGTTTTTAAACCTTTTGTGGACGTTTTATTTCATTTTTAAAAAATCTTATGTTGTAAAACTTGCAGCATATAAAAGGTAGAGCAAATAATATGATGAATTACTGTGTACCATAGTAATACCAAGTAACTGTCAGCTTTGATAGTTATCAAATCATGGCCAATACGGTGTCATTTATATCCCCATCCACTGCTCCCTTTCCCACACCTCAATTGTTTTGAATCAGATCTGTTATTTTTTGCATCTATAAATATTATAGAATGGAACTCAGAGATAAGATTAAAACCCTTTTGAGAATGTGGTGAAAGTTAAGAGACTTTTACACCACCCAGAAAATGTCATGTACGAAATACATGTACAATCTTTACATATGTAACATTTTGAGGATGCTCATAGATCTGAAGTGAACTGGTAATGCTGTCAGGTTTATTGGCCCCAATTTAAGAACCTGTGTTTCAGAGAATCCAGTATGGTGTGATCGACCATAGATGGTCATATATGTAAGATTTGTTTATTTACCAGATTTTTTTTTTTGAATTAACAGGAGAAAGGAGATTCTATCTATCAGAGAGATTAAAGTAGCATTTGAACTGGGGGTTAAAGAATGTTGTAGTTGTGTGGGTAGATTTGAGCAAGACAGTTTCAGGAAAAGGTACTTCCCAAGGCTGAGTCTGACAGGAAGAAATCATAAGGTCACTGACAAATGTTTAGGAGTTCAATTTGATTAATAAGTAATGTATAAAAGATGAAATGAAATGTTCGTCGCTCAGTCGTGTCTGACTTTTTTGCAACCCCATGGACTGTAGCCTGCCAGGCTTCTTTGTCCTTGGGATTCTCCAGGCAAGAATACTGGAGTGGATTGCCCTTCCCTTCTCCAGGGGGTCTTCCCAAACCAGGGTTTGAACCTGGGCCTCCCACATTGCAGGCAGATTCTTTACCATCTGAGCCACCAGGGAAGCCTCTTCATACATTAGAAAGTAATGTATGAAGGATAGTAGTAGAAAAAGAATGAAAAGTCAAAATTAGATCAGGAGGATTTTGATCATTTAAACAGAGAATCTGGAACTTTGATAAATGGTGGGATGTAACTGCAACAGAAAATAATCATGATAGTCATTTAGAAAAATTACTCTGGTGAAGTGAACTGGACGAAAGACTAGAGATCGGAAGACCTGTTGTGAAACTTCTTCAGGAATCAGATAGAAACATAATGAAACCCTGTTAACATTAGGAATGGAAAGCATGGGAGAACTCCAAGAACTGTAAAAGTAGAATCAGTGAGACTTAACAAGATTGCTTGTTTAAGAGGAGGGAATGATTGAAGATGGCTTGGATATTTTGAGTGTGATAATGATAGTGACATTAGCATCAGCTAGTGAGTTCTGGTGAGAACTCCTGTTATTCTAGCAACCCCTCACTTCAGTTACAGCTGCTCTTTTTCTTCATTGGGATTGCTAGGCCTTTGACCGTGTTGTTTTCTTTTTAATCTGATGCCCTTTTGCCTCTCTTTGTTCTTAACACATCCCCAAACTCTTTTCTCTCTTGTTTTTCTACTTTGTCCTATAAATCTTAGCCCCAGTAAAGTCTTAACTATCCATTTTCTCCATTTTTACAGTCAGGATATAGAGTACTACTGGAGGTATTTGTATAGCCTGGGTCTTCCCTGGTGGCTTAGTGATAAAGAACCCGCCTTCCAATACAGGAGATGTGGGTTTGATCCCTAGTTCAGGAAGATCCCCTGGAGAAAGAAATGGAATCCAATCTAGTATTCTTGCCTTGGAAATCCCATGGACAGAGGAGCCTTGTGGACTATAGTCCATGGGGTCACAAAAGAGTTGGACACACACACACACACACACAAAAGAGTTGGGCACAACTTAGTGACTAAACAACAATAACAACAACGATTTGGTATCACCCTTTGATTTCTAGCATTAGCTAGGCTCTCAGTAGTACCCAAACATCTTTATGTCACTAGTCTCCTTCCCCACTCATTGGCACCAGGATGTATTCTAACATTCTTTTTTGTAACTTAAACATTTTCTTTTTCTAGCCACTTCCCTTACTGTCAGAGAAAACACATACCATCTATGGAAGCTTTCTCTGCTTTCTAAACTGCACTCATCTTTTTTGCAGGGGGGTGGTGGGGGGCTATACTACATGGCTTTTGGGGATCTTAGTTCCCCAACTAGGGATTGACTCTTGGTAGTGAAAACATGAATTCCTAACCATTAGACCATCCTGATAAATTGCACTCATCCTGAATTCTTAGCCTGTTGAAGATATGACTCTTCCATCCAGGGCTACTGTTTCTAACTTGTTCTTATATTCCATTATCCTTCTGCTTTTTCAGGAAACTTACTTTATTACTTAGGTGTTCTATATCTTCAGACTCTCTCTACTAAGCTCTTTTGTAAATTGTTCAGATATATCTGATCTTTAAATAAAAAATAACATTTCCCCTATCTGATACCTTTCATTGGCCACTAGTATGCTATGATTCTCTTGCCTTTCCTTCACAGCAGTTTCTAGATGGAAAGCAGTACACACGTAGAAGCTAGTGTTTAGTAACGGTAAATGACGCTGGTAACTTTCAAGATAAACCTAACCTGTCACATGAGGTCTTTGGACCTTGCCTAGTTTCTCTTCATATTCAATTTTTTGTTGTTTTCTTTCATGTTCCAGCCATGAAATAGCATAGCCAGCTTCCTGAATGTACTATATGTATATGCTCTTTCAAGTTTCATGCCTTAATACTTTTTCTTTATTTTTTCATAACTGTTTTGTTGAGGTATAATTCAAATACCATACAGTTAACCTATTTCCATTGTGTACTTCACTGATTTTTAGTATATTCAGAGTTGTGTGTCTGTCACAACAATCAGTTTTGAAACATTTTCATGATCCTCCCAAAGAAACCTTGCGTCCATTAGCAGTTCTGAGTTCCCTCCACATCTCTCCAGCCCTATGCAACCACTTGTCTACTTACTGTTTCCATAGGTTTTCCTGTTCTGGAAATTTCATATAAATGGAATCATGCAGTATGTAGTCTTTTGTGACTGATTTCTTTCCATAATATTTTTAAGGTTTATCTATGTTGTAGCCTGAATCAATACATTATTCCTTTTTATGACAAAATAGTATTCTGCTGTATGGATATACCATATTTTGTTTATCCATTCATCAACTGATGGACCTTTGGTACTCTTTACTTTTTGACCACTATGAATAATGCTGTGATGAATATTCCTGTGCAATATGTTTTCATTCTTCTTAGATATGTAGCATTAGAGAATAGCATTGCTGGATGATATGATAACTCTATGTCTAACTTTTTGAGGATCTGCCAAACTATCTTCCAAAGCAGTTATACCATTTTATAATCCTACCAGCAGTGTATAATGTTTCTAGTTTTTCCTTATACTTGCCAATACTTTTTTTAAAATCTTTTTTTTATTATAGCCATCATACTGGATATGAAATTGTATCTCATTTCTCTAATTAATAATGACATTGAGTGTATTTTTATGTGCTTATTTGACATTTGCATGTCTTAAGAAATGTTCATTTTTAAATGGATTATTTGTCTTTTTACTATTGAATTATAAGAGTTCTTTGTATATTTTAAAGGTGAGTCCCATATCAGATACATGATTTGCAAATATTTTCTCCTGTTCTGTGAATTATCTTTTTACTTTCCTGGTGATATTCTTTGAAGCACAAGAGTCTTTAATTTTGATGAAGTCCTCTTTATTTTTTCTTTTGTTGCTTGTGCTTTGGTGTTATGTTTAAGAAACTATTGTCAGGCTCATTAAGATTTGCCGCTGTGTTTTCTTCTAAAAATTTTATAGTTTGACCTTTTACATTTAGGTCCTTGATCCTTTTTTATTTACTGTGTGTGTGTGTGTGTGTGTGTGTGTGTGTGTGCGCGCGCGCATGCGTGCACGCTGTAAAGTGGGGATCCTTTTATCCCCATCCTTTTATATGTGGATATCCACTTGTCCCAGCACTATTTGTTGAAAAAAATCTATTCTTTCCCCACTGAATTGTTTTATTTCTGGACTCCTTAATTTTATTCCACTGATCTATTGACTGTTGCATCCTTTTTCTAACTTCTGTTTAGAATACCTTATCTGCCACCTCCACCTGGCAAATTTCTATTCCAAACCAAAAGCGTACTTTTCTTCAGCAGATCTTGTGCATAACTCTGCATACTTATAGCATAGTGCTCATCGCATTTTTGTGATAGTTTATATATATATATTTATAACTCTATATCCTTTAGTAGTTAGCTTTTGGAGGGTCAAGACTGAACCTTTTATATCTGAATCCCAAAGCTTTAGCACAGTGCCTGGCATATAGTATGCTATTAATATATTTATTAGGAGAAATAATAGGGGCAGTATTAAATTTTGTTTTGACTGTGGTCATTTCTAGGTGTTGTCAGGATATTCAGGGACTACTACTCAATAGGCATTTTTATTTATTAATTGAAATTTGCTTGTACCTTTCTTTTTTTATTTACTCATTTGTCATATATTTACTGGATGCCTCTCATGTGCATGGCTCTGCGGAGGCAGCAGTAAACAGAACAACACCCTGCACTCAGAACACTTTCCTTCTAGTAGGGGAAACAGACAATATACAGATAGTGTGAAACAGTTGACAATAAAACCAGCAAAGAAATCCAGAAATTTAAGGGGAGGTAGAGACTGGCAATTGGAGAAGGCAATGGCACCCCACTCCAGTACTCTTGCCTGGAAAATCCCATGGAGGGAGGAGCCTGGTAGGCTGCAGTCATGGGGTCTCTAAGAGTCAGACACGACTGTGCGACTTCACTTTCACTTTTCACTTTCATGCATTGGAGAAGGAAATGGCAACCCACTCCAGTGTTCTTGCCTGGAGAATCCCAGGGACGGGGGAGCCTGGTGGGCTGCTGTCCATGGGGTCGCACAGAATCAGACATGAGTGAAGTGACTTGGCAGCAGCAGCAGCAGCAGTGACAGAGACTGGCAGTAAAGACTTCAGAATCACCCTCAAAAGGTGATACTTGAAAATATATTGAAAATATATAGGAACGGATGGAATCACCAAGAGATGTCTAAAAGGTAGAAAAACCAGAAGAGTAGAATCCTGGAAATTAAGGGAAAAGAGAAGGCAGAATGATGAAGGAGAATTAAGCCTAAAAAAGAACCGTCAGTTCTAGTTGTTAGACAGTCATTAGTAGTCTTAAGGTTAAATTTCAGGGGAATTGCTGGAGCCAGGTTTTAAAAGATTGAATTTTTGAAACAATTGAAACTGTGCCATTGTTTTTTTCCTACTCCTTAATGTTGTATCTGTAATGAAAAATTAATGTATGTGTTTAGATGTTATTCATCCCTGTACTTATCCCTGTGGGGGCTGCTTTTTTTTTCCCTCTGAGGGACCTGATTACTTATTCCATAAAGAATCTCTCAGGCTTGTTAGCCATTTGATTTCTTTCAGTTTGAAAGTCTGTATAGCTTTTTAATTCCATCATTTCTTCTATCTAAATGTGTTAATCTTGTGTTATAAATCATTTGATCATTTATATAAATGATTGCCCTGTGTACATAGAGAGAATTGAATATAATCAGCTAATGTGTCACATTTGTTTTTAATAGTGACAGAAATGTTGGTAAACGTTCTGAGTATTTGCTCTGATGATGAACTTATGACTGAAGGCGAAGACCAGTTTGATGGTATGACTATTTATTTTACTGTTTTTTATTGTGAAGTGGTATTGTTTAACTGCCCAATTTCAATATACTCTTGTAAATTATAGTCATTGCTCTCAAATGGCTATACTATTTGATAAGTGACAAGTCACTTTTTTAAGATATTATTTAAGACTTTAAAACAGTTTCAGTGATTTATTTTTCTGTTGATATGGGGAAGAAAATGAATTTTGGAAAGGGGGAAATCTGAAAGAGAACAGAAGGAAAAGAAAATTGAAGTGCTAAAAGAATGTGGTTCTTCATGAATATGGACACTACTTAGAGAAGGGAGGATAAAAATGCTTCTTGTTTCATTGGTACTATATTCTTAGTGCATCAGAAACACACCTAAGTACATAGCGGTGTTGTCACTTCTTTTCAAAAATCAAAATAAGCTGTTCCCAATTTTGAGTGGTTATGTTCTAAGAAACTTCTTGTTGGTTTAGTTTGAGATTCAGAAAGCCCTTTTTTTTTCATAGAAACAAAGTTATACATGTAGTTCTTATGTAAGACAGCCAGCCTGTGTATCTAATGCACATTTATAGTATAAATTACTACAATAGAAGCAAAATTACTTTTCTTTTTATGTTTTGAAGATCTTATTTAGAACTTAAATATTTATAAATATTTATTGAGTTAATTAACTGGATAAACAAAAAATATAAACAATTTATAAGCTGAAAACCCTTTATTTCCTTCCATATACCCCTCACATCTTTGTTGCAGTATATTTTTCATAGTTTTAATCAGTATATAAATGTTGCCATGTATTAAACATGGTCTGTGTAGTGGTAAAATTAGACACCTGCATATTTTTATATATTACTATATCATAATCTTTGTAGTTAATCTTAATGTTGTTTGGCATTTGGGTTGCTTTAAATTATCTCTATTATGAATAGCATGCAATAAACATAGTCATACAGTAATTTTAATTTTCCTTCTTGGAATAAATTTCTTGAAGAAAATTACAGAGTTAATGAGTATGAAGAATTTTAGTTTCATTATTTTAGCTGTGAACTGCCAGATTACATAAGAATTGGACCAATATGAAGTGTTTCTAGCAATGAATCCATATACCTATTTTTTTCACAGGACCACCTAATTGGGTTTTGGTCATTTTTACTTTTTTTAATTGATGGCTATACAGAAGTAAGTTACCGTTGGTTTAATTTTTGTTTATTTGAATTCTAATGATGCTAAGGAAGAAATATGCTTTACTAGCTGCGTAAACTTCCTCTCAGGTGACCACTTAACAAGTAAAATCTGAATAAAGCTATTTAGAAATATCTTTACTTACAAACAGGTTCAGTTCTTAAAACACTGTTTTAATTCTGTTTGTTCAAGGTACAGAGTGACTATATACACATGTCTGTTGTTGCCATCTGTTGGTGGCAGGCAGCGAGTGCTTTTACTCTGGGTTATAGTTCCATTAATTGAAATAAATTAACTTATATTAGTTCTCTTTTGGGAGATAATAAGCTTCAAAGAGTAGTATTTAGTTTTCCTTATTTTAATTCTCTCTTTCTGATGTTTTGTAGAAAAGTTTTTAGTTCTAACATATTTCATCTGTCTTTTCCATAGAATCTTTAAATAGTTTTAATTAAATATTTATTTTCCCTGTTCTGCTACCGTTGTTGTAAGATTAGTTCTAGGTTTAGATTCTAGTTCACAATGTTATAGATACTGATATACTGATCAATAATATAATGAAATAATTTTTGTGCATATCCCACTAATTTTTTTAAGTAGAGTTTTTTTGTTAATATCAAATTCTGTGAACTATCCAGTAAGAGTTTTTTTTAATTGTTCATGATATTTTTTATTATTATTTTGATATCCATGAATCAGTAGTAATAACCAATTTTTTATTTCTAAAAATAAATTTCAAAAAAATCTTTATTTTCTTGTTTAGCCTGGCTGGTGGGGGCGTGTATCAATTTTATTTGTACTTCTAAAAGAACCAGTATTTGATTTTGTTGATTTTTCTCTGTTGTTTTCTTGACTTGAATTTCATTGATTTCTGCTCTTCATTTTATAGTAGGAGTTTTTAATTGGCATTACATTCTATCTATATCTGAATCTAGAAAGTTTTTTAAAAATAATGTATAATTTTCTAAACTAAGATAAAATTTTTTTGCCCTATATAATTAATTCATTTACTCTAATTATTCCTTTGAATATATTTAGTATATCGTAATTTTATTTAAAATTATGTTTTTTCTTTGAAAAAATCTGTTATTACCAAGTTAAATTAATATTTCACTATTTTGTATTCTAATTACTATTATAACTGGTATCTCTCTTAATGTATTTTCTAACTGTATAATTACATATTTTGGGGTTTATCTTATGTTCAACAAGTTGAATCGGTAGAATTACCTCCTATGATAATTTTTGTTTTGTTTTCCATAACTTTAAAAAATGTCATTTGCATAAGGCTGATACTGTTATTTTCTACATTTTTATCCTTTATTTCTCTTTAAAAATTTGAATCTTAAAAAATTTGAATCAGTAGTGTTAAATAGAAGTAGTGACAGGTGATCCTTTAGTCCTCTTTCTGTAATAAAAAGGAAAAAATTTCTCTGTTAAGTCTAATATAGTACTTGGTTTAGATATAGATGATTTATATGAAGATAGACACAATTGTCAGAGAAGGCAATGGCACCCCACTCCAGTACTCTTGCCTGGAAAATCCCTTGGAGGGAGGAGCCTGGTAGGCTGCAGTCCATGGGGTAGCTTAGAGTCAGACACAACTGAGCGACTTCACTTTCACTTTTTACTTTCATGTGCTGGAGAAGGAAATGGCAGTCCACTCCAGTGTTCTTGCCTGGAGAATCCCAGGGACCGGGGAGTCTGGTGGGCTGCCGTCTATGGGATCGCACAGAGTTGGACATGACTGAAGTTACTTAGCAGCAGCAGCAGCAGACACAATTGTCTTTGGGAATTCAACCACGAATAAATATAAATTTTTATTATATTCCTTCTAATGAAATTTATGCATTTTATCAATATTTTTTCTATCAATGAAAAATTATACTTATTTATCAACTTGTTATATCATTCTTACACTCCAGAGGTGAATCAAATTTGATCATTAAAAAGGCACTGTAGTTTAGTGAAAAGGATCGGTGGTTCAGATGTCTTGGTGCTACCATTATACTAGCTGTGTAATCTTAGGAAAGTAACCTAACGTTTCAAAATCTTCTCTTCCATAGGTTGAGGGAATAGAGAGGATGAAAACTCTTCCCCACTCTTCAAGTAGTTTTAAAAATTGGGAAGTACCATTTATGGGCTTTCCAGGTGGTGCTAGTGGTAAAGAATCCTCCTGCCAATGCAGGAGACTCAGATATGATCCCTGGGTCTGCAAGATCCCCTGGAGGAAGGCATGGCAACCCACTCCAGTATTCTTACTTGGGAAATCCCATAGACAGAGGAGCCTGGCAAGCTACAGTCTGTAGGGTCGCAGAGTCAGACACAACTAGGCATCTGAGCACAAGCACCATTTTTGACAGTGTTTCTCTGGGAAAATACACTGAGTTCCAACTTTGCATACTAGAAATAGATCTCCCTTCACTGCCAACATAGCAGGTGCAGTTACTTCACATTGCTTCACCTTTGCACTACCAAGTATTAAGAGTAGGGACTCCAAGAAAGTTTTGAGGATATGCATCTGGGAGTTTGTCTAGGAACGAGAGTGATTTGAAGGAGAAAGAACCTTGAGTAATGGAGGAAAGGAAAGTTTAGGATAGACACTAGGGTGGGTTGGGAAAAGAGCTACTGGAGCTACATTTGTTTCCCTTTCTTATTCATATCCCCTTATTTCTTCCCCTTGACTCCATGTTTTTTCCTTTCCTTTGACCACGATAACATGCCTTCTGTCCTCTCCTCCTTTTCCTGCTCAGCAGTGAAACTATGCTGTGGATTGAGCCTGCAGAGAAACCTGATTTAGGAAGAAAACTTATTGAGTTGGGGATTGCTGTGGAGGCAGAATAAGAGTTTAGCTTTTCTCTGGGGAAAGGGGAAGAGTAGGATTGGAGATTTCCGAGTGGGAGGAAGAAAAGAGTAGTTTTTGCATATTCAAGGCCAAAGGAATGACTCTTTCTTCTTAAGTGATGGACTTTGGTATTCTGTATTGTTTAATATACCTGTGGGTTTATTTTTGAAGGCAAAAATTTGCAGAAATATATGGCATTTGTATATGCATATAGCATTCCTTTTAGAGGTATTATGTAATCATTAAAGGGAATTTTTGAAGACTGATTTCTGTGATATTTAGAATGAATACTGTTTCTTTCAGTTATATTTGTCTTGAGTTTGGTAAAGGAAATAGATAACCCATATGTGTTATAGTTTTACTAAGCTAAAACTTTGCATTTCCTGTAATGCAATTATGTATGTCAGCATTACAATGGAAAGCTCAAATGAAACGTCTCTGCTGCCTACTCTTAGAGCTATTACTTGTTGAAACAGTCTGTTGCTATTTGTGTAAAAAGATGTCCCTCAAACTCCCAGATTGGATTGGGAACAGATAGCACATACTGTTGATCTTGAGTATGTGCAAAAGTTCCACAATTCTGATTTAAAGAAATTGTAGGCTTTTGTTATAATGGAGTGTGGGAGGCTTAGTGTTTTCTTTATTGGGAGTGGGTAAGGTTTTTCACCGAGGTAGTTTATAAAGTTACCTACATTTCTCTGTGTATGCTACAGATTTTGCAGATTTGGTGTCCTTGAAGAACCACATGAGTTTGTATCTCATTTGTGTCATTACCTTTCACTTAACATACTTCCATGGGTGACACATTTCTTAGGGGTATTAATATAAATGTGCGATTGTTGTTAGCACAGTCTTTTATCAGTCTTATGTGTTTTCACGTGTTTTTTTCTGTCCCTAATTTGTCTACTTTCATCAAATATTATAGTCATTCTGTCCATAATTTCTTCTGAACACATATCTTTTAAGAAATCTTTCCTTTAGAGCTCTACCCAGTGGCATCCCTCCTTATTTGCCAGATCTACAGTACTACATTTTTCAAATTTCAAGTATGAGGGACTCCATTTTTCTCCCTTTCTTTCTACATTCATTCTTCAGTACCACTGCCAAGTTAAATCTCTATCTTTTTATTTGTCTCAACCACCTTTTCTCCATCATTCACTTCCTTTTTTCTGGACTCTCCATCTGAAGAACGGCTCATATATGGCAATAAAAAAGGTACAGACCAGACAGAGTAACATCGTTTTGAAATATGACTTCATAAGTTATTCTCATGTCCATGTAAGTTAGTGCATTCATTGAGTATATTTATGCAGAGTCCTCTGGGCCTTGTGCAAATTTAGTTTAAGTTTTATCTAAGTTAGAATTTGATGTTTTTAGAAGTCATATTCCAAGATATCTGTCTTTCTGTGCATGGAAATATTTTTCCCTCTTTTTCATTCCTCTTGTTTTAAAATTTCATTCTTTTGCTTATTTGTAATGTTTTGTACTCTTCCCTGCATGACTAGGGTGTTTGATTGTCTGTCTTATTCCCCAAAGTAATTTTACTGTGGACATTTACTTTAATATTATGCATGATGTGTTTGTAGACTGATTTAAAATCCTGATTTGTAAAGTGTTTTTATATTCCAGTGAATTTTTAATTTGAAATAAATATAGTTTACATATCATTCAGTTTTATAGATATAATTAAAGCTGAAAATATGAGTGTATCTCCTTACAGCCATCCTCCCCATCCCCATACTCCTCTCCTCCAGTCTAACTAAAAAATTCCATCAATTTTAAAACAAAGTATCTATATTAATTTATTTGAAGAGAATCAGATTTATCCTTATGTCCTTGGATGAGATACTTAGTAAAGTTAGTTTCTTTGTCTATAAAATGAGGAAATTGAGTTTTGCAGTATCTCTAATGTCTCTTCAAATTATAATATTCTGTGATTTTGAAACTTTAAGTAATTTTTTGGCATTTTAAAAATACCTGTGTAATACCATGGTACCCACACAATTTCGGATTTGTAAAAGCTGTAGCTTCATTGCTCATAGTATTACCCTAAGAGCATCATAAATATGGTTGTGCAACCTGTTTTCTCTAAAATATGTCCTTTGTTTTCATCTTTGAAATTTCTTTTTCTGTTTACTTACAGTAAGGTCCAGTCACCATCTTAGTTTTTAATTATATGTACTTGTGGACTGCTTAAATTTTAAATGAGATGCTGTAGCTCAAAAGACTGGTGGTTGTTCAGACCTCCATATACCTAAGGCCCCTTTTGGTCTAGTGTCTTTAGCCTTTCCTTAACCTCTCCTCAACTATGGTGCTTCCATATGTGCGTTGTCATCATGTTGAAGCACCATTCTAAGGAACCACACTCTTGGGTCCAGAGTGATTCTAGTTGCTATATATGAGATAACAGGACGGAGATTGTTGTTCTTTCTGGAGGCCAAGGGAAGGAAGATAACAGCCTTTGAGTCTTTTTTCAGGCATATATTCAGTTATTTTGATATATCCTCTTCTGTATCGGTGATAGGCAGTACAGTTAACCCCTTGGAGATGAAGCATTAGTGATTCTTTAGCCATGTTTTTTGGGGAGTCTTTTCTCATTGTCACTCTCCTTATGTCATACTCAGCTAGGGATGTGAAAGCTTGTGTGTATTTGCATGACCTTAAAGGATTTCTAGTCCATGAAGTTGAGATTTACATTGTTGAAATGTGGGTATGGTTCTTAGTTCTGGGTCACGGGCCCAGTAGTCACTTCATATCACATTTTCAGACCAAATTCAAGCAAGGAAGCTTCTTTTGTCATAGTATGATGGCATATTTCGAGCCTGCATGTCAAAGGCTTTTATGTTAACCAAGCAGAAGGCTATAGGCTATTACCAGTTCTAGTCTGCTAGTCTGCATGCTGTAGGCTCTCATGAAAGTTAAACAGACTGTATGAATGTTACCATTTTTTTGTCCTCTGGTTTGTGGTACGGGTTGGACTCTAGTTTCTTTTCCATTGCTCTTTTACTCATTAGTCAGTAGTGTGAGAGTCAAAGTTGTGGATTACTTTTCATTTGTATTTGTATCAGATCCCAATATTAGACCAGTGCTGAGCTAAACATTGAAGGAGAAGCTTTTTGGCATGAGTTCATCTAGTCTCCATGTGAGCTGGTGGCAGGGGGCTTGGTGTTGGTTCAGATGACCGTGTAACAGGCTAATAAGATGGTATAAGTATGGATGCCCTAAACTTGAGTCTTTCTTTCTATTTATTCCATTGAAAGTAGGTTCAGCTGCAGCCCGGAAAGAAATCATAAGAAACAAAATTCGAGCAATTGGCAAGATGGCAAGGGTCTTCTCTGTTCTCAGGTAATGATACATTTTCCCAATGATTTGTTTTGCAGAAATCACTTTTATGGTACTTTACTACACACAGTGTCCTGTTGGATATCTAAAAACAATATAGTAGCATTCTTTCTGTAAAGAAGTTGTATATTTACCTGTTGAAAATGGGAGCACAAGTCTCTTTGAAATTAGCATTTTTGACCCCTTTATTGTTATTGCTCACCTTTGGTATCTCTTATCCTTCTGTGATGAAAGTAGTAGATCTGTATCTTGAAGATTAGAGCAGAATAAGAAGGAGGGGGTACTTTTTAGAGCATTCCTGATGAACTTGCTCATCTATAAAGGAACTCCTTTATGCTGAAGCCCCAAATTGTCTTCCTGGGGTTAATTCAGGAAGACCAGGTTTAAGAGTGCATGCGAATGAGTCTGCTTATATCAGCCATTTTATCTTTAAAGTGTATGAAATACCATATTTTCTCAATTTTACAATACCTATTGCTGTTTATACCTGTCTCACATATATTTAATAAAACTTTTCAGGAAAAACAATATATGTCTCAGCTGCACAGCATACCCTCATATCTGAAACATTTAGAATGTGGAAAAATGTGTATCTTGGAATTGAGGAAAATATAGTAATAGCAGCAAATGTCATAAGCTATATGCATGGCCTTCATCTGGGCCCCGTTCCCTCTTTTTAACTAGGAACTTGTTGGAAGTCTCTGATCTTTGTTATATCTCTCTGCTCTAGGGAGGAGAGTGAAAGTGTGCTGACACTCAAGGGCCTGACTCCCACAGGGATGTTGCCTAGTGGAGTGTTGGCTGGAGGACGGCAGACCCTGCAAAGTGGTAATGATGTTATGCAACTTGCTGTGCCTCAGATGGACTGGGGCACACCTCACTCTTTTGCTAACAATACACATAATGCATGCAGGGAATTCTTTCTGCTTTTTAGTTCTTGTCTCAGCAGCTGACACAAGCAGAATATTGTATGATAGGTAGTGTCTGATTAAGAACCTGACCAGGGCAGAAAATTGATAGAATCAGTATTCTTTTCAGTTGAAAATAATGATCAGTCTCTCAGCTTTTCATGAAATGATATGGGAGTAACTCATATCATAATGTCTGAAATATTTATTAATTTGTCTAATGCACCCTTTTCTTTTTAAAGCTTCAGTTTCAGAATGTGAATCAGGATATTCATATTACTTAAAATGGAAATGTAATTCCAAGTTTCTTATTTTTTATCTTTTTAATTTATGTAATTGTATTAGACTATGCTTATATTTTCAGATGTTAATTTTAGAATTAACAATCTGCTTGAGCCCCAGAACATTACTTATGCACTTCACTTGCCAAAACATTTGTGCAAGGTTTTGTACCCTGGTAAATGATGCCAAAGTTTGTTTTCTGTGGTGTTTGTCAAATGTTCTATGTATAATTGACTGTCTGTAACATGCTGTTTCCTTCCTCTGCAGATGTAGCTGCTTTCCTAAATCTGTCTGTCTTTCTTTAGGTTAGCTGTATGTCTGTAAAAGTATGTTAAATTAAATTACTCTATCAGGCACTTTATCTGTCTTGATGTAGAGGCAACTTTGTAGCACCTTGTTTTAAGGTTTGCTGCATTTGTTGCTGTGCTTTGTGCATTCTAAACGTGAATGTAACATTAGATATTAAGTCATTGTTATAAGGGGTTGAATTTAAATCTTGTAAGTCAAAATTGAAAGGGTGTTATTAAGTGTGCCTTTATTTTGCATGAAAATAAAAAGAATTATACGTAAAGCATTCCTGTAATCTGGCTCATTGAATATTTTATACTAAGAAAAACAAGTTTTTTTTGGCGTAAATATTTGTGTAAATACTGGATTGATTTTCTGAAAGCCCATTACAGATTAAATAGAAGAAAGTGATATGAATGTTATAGTCTATACACAGTAACTCCAAGTCTAGATTTCTTTCCTTTTTGGTTGGAAAGCAGAAAATGTGATATGTAAAGCCTTACTTTATGTTTTATTGTAACCACAGCCCTCCAAGGGTCATTGTTGTATTAAGACAGGAAGCAACAGATCTGATGTTTTCCTTAGTGATGATTGACAGTATCTTTTTGGTGTTGTAGTTAGTCAATTTTTTAAGGCAAAAAAACAGGAAAGTTTTAATTTTAATTTTTCAATAAATTTAAATTAGATTGACTTTTCGTAATTTCATTTCACTTAGTCTCATAATAAATGCTTAAATAAATAAAAAGAAATTTTTTCTGTAGACAAATAATTTCTACTTGTAGCCTATACATGTTCTATTTATATGTTATTGTGTTGTCTGCTACCACCACTGGTACATGTGAGATAGACAAGTATGTTTTGAAATTATAACTTCAAATTTTCATTTTGAACAAGGTTTTTTTTTTTTATTTAAAAAAATGTGCTTTGATTCTCTTTATATTTCTTGCCTTTCATTTTTCTTATTATGTTATAAGCATTAGGCAAATTAGCTAAAAAGAATTTCATTATAACAAATTAAGATCTTAAACATTCAATAAATCTAGTAATAGAAAAGGATGAATTGCAGTAGCTTGAAAATTGTTGTACACGTCCTCTTGTTTGTTCAGAAAAGGAAAAAAAACCCAGAAGGGTCTCATACTTAAGTAAATCTAAACTACAGTCATCTCTCAGTTGTCCCTGGGTATAATATTACTTTTATGTAGTATCCACAACAAACCTTTCAGATTTTGCAATTAGTACCTGCTAATTACATGCTTTGTTGATAGCTCAGCACTTCTGTTTGTTCGTAATTTGCATGCAGCCTGAAGCTCAGTCTTCCAACTTTGAAATCACCCCCAACTGCAGGGAAGGATTGAAAGAGGGCTTTACTGAGATACTGTCTCTTCCTGACAAAGAGTGAGTTACTGGACAGTGCTGAGCTTAAGGGGTCCAATTTGGGAGACTAGATAGCTCCACAGCTCTGCCAGCAATGAATCTTGATAGTGTGGTTTAACTATTTGATTGAAGTGATTTCTCTAGCATGAGTAGACCCATTTTGAAACAACAAAACTCATACAGAAGTAGTGTCACCTGTGTGGTTTTTAAAAATTTATGTAACATTTAAAATTTTTAATAGACATGATGAACCCTTATGTGAATAATGGAGAGCTAAGTATTGCAAAAAGAAAGTTTTAAAATTCTGAGACCTCTTTCCTGTTGTCAGAAAATTGAAATTGTCTTATCAGTAACATTACAGTTAACTTGTAGTATTTTTCAAGTGTTTTACAAACTGCCTAACTATCGGAGTAGGATTTGTTAATCATATTTTATGTTCATTTTCTTCTGGGAGTTTGATTGGGAGCTAGCCATTATAATGCTGCCTTCACTAGGAACTTTATGAGAAAATATGTGGCCATCTGTGTTATAGTAAGGTCATTTCCTCTTGATCACTTATTCTGTGTAGTACTGAGGAACACAGTTTGAAATAGCATTGTACTCAAACTTACTAAGGCCATGTCAAGATGCCCTGTAAAATTGAAAAAGATTGAGGAAAATTAGTGCTTTTCAGATAGACTTTTGCAATTAATCAGATCTCTTTCTTCCCAGCTTAATGTGTAAGCTTCAAATGATCTTTGAATTCTAAGCATTCCAGCTTGACATGGTGTGCAGTTTTGAGTGTGATGTATATTTTGTGTTCTCAGAAGGATTTAGAAGCATTTAGAGGCCTTGGGAAAGAGCAGAGAATATAAATTGACCAAGAAAATGCTTTTACATATAAAAGTAAAAGCCCACAAAAGTATATTGTCAAGTTTTATAATTTGAAAAAGTTTTAACAGACTTTTTAAACTATTGATATACCCAAAGAGATACCAATTCTTATAGTAATATCAGTTTTTTAATTTATTACTATATAAAATACAAAGTATGAAATAGTTCATGTAAAGTCATTTCTGTTACCACAAGTTCTTTAAAGCATACATTCTGGTAGGCACCTTATTTTCCCATTTAATTTGCAAACTATAAAGAAAATAGTCCATGTTTTGAAGAATAAGAATTCCAGGGATGATCCAGTAGAAGTGGGTCACTTATACCAGTTCTCCGTGTGGACAAATTACAAGAGTATTGTACAAGCATACAGGGCTAGATTTTTTAAGTGGTGTTTTGTACAGTGGGTATACAGTAAGTATATCTGCTTTAATTTGTAATATGATTTAGCAGTTAAGAAAAATTAATTCTTCCTTTACTCAGTGTTCATGTTTCTTTTGGGGGGGACCCCAATTTACTATCTGATTGAGATCTCCAAACTTATCTGATTTAGCCTTCTTTGATTCCTTAGATTTTTCAGTGTTCTTTCATATTAATAACTGCTTTGGATAAAATTTATCATTTTTAAATCATGTATACTGCTCAAAGGTCATTTTAGGAATAATTATTCTAATTGACCTTCTTGTAGAAAAAGCAAAATAGAAGAGATGAATGTTATTGTTATAAATATTCTGAGTTTGTATATTTTGGGTAAAGTGAAGAATTAAGACTTGGCAATATTATCAGACAATATCGTCCTCTGCAGTTTTGGGTCCTGGTCTTCAATGTGAGAGCTTCATACAGTTTGAACCCAGAATTGAGCCCAAAGAATCTTTGACTACAAAAAATATATGACTAAATATGTTGAAATTCTCTAAATAGGCCAGAGATAGGCTATATCAAGAATGCATTTTTCATTTATATGACTTATATGTATGTCCATATCTTGAAATGATTAGGATTTAATTGCCTGTAAAACCTCAGTTCTATCTCTTGATTTCTCTCTAGTTGGTAGATGGGCTTGAAAAGATAGATGCTCAGTAGCCTTTTTATCTTCAGTTAAGAATGCAAGATCTTATTATCTGAGGCAAATTTGGGTTCATGATACACTGAACATATATGGATTTTTTTTAAGGCTATATATGTTAATATCGTTAGATATTTGGAACACCAATGTTAGAATAGAAAGGAAGATCCTAGTAGATGAGCAGAGTTCTTTTAGATTACCCACAAAGGATAGGACTACAAACTGTTCTAGTTAGTGTAACTTACCAAGTTTACTGCCCACAAATTTTATTTCATTGTCCTCTGAACATAGCAACTTCTGCAGCTTATGCTTCGCTCTATGAATTAGAAGTGACAGGGAAAGCATTGCTAGGCTCCTTCTAGTTTATATCTTAGGGAATCAACTGGTGATGTGTTATTTCAGTTAGGCATGAAAGAAAAGAATTTCCTTCTGTTTGCTCTGCTACAATTCTACCATCATGGTTTCACCCTAGAGAATTTCATAATTTCATCCTAGAGATATCCTTGTGATTGTTATGGATGTGATATGATAAACATATTGAACAATTCTAAGGCCATCAAAATACTGAATTCAAGATGGATAATTAATACTAGCATTGCATGGATGCTGAGGTGTCTGTGTTTATAATAGGTCTATGTGTTCTGTGCATTGAGCGATGGTGTCTTAGTGCTGTGTGTAAACTGTGCTGTGTCAGGAATTGGGGGATTGGATGGGGTTCTCTAATATGGGTACTATATATGTTAAATTGTAAATGATGATGTAGTATGGGGTACTGTTATATTTTTTAAGTGATCATTGCCTTTTCTGCTGTACAATATGACCCTTCTCATCTCTCTCATTCATTTTGCATGCCTCTGCTCACTTCTGTACAGCCACAGTTGAGGCTATTGAGGCTGAAAAAGGTACGATCAGAGTCCTTGCGCTGGGCAGAGATCTGTGGTGTGTGGGTGGGCATCAGAGAATGTCCTATGGGTGTGTCTTACTTCTAGCTTGCACAGCCCAAGATGAATCAGACTCACTGACTCATCAAGTTTAACAGTCGTATCTTCTTCTTCTTTTTTTTTTAAATCACAAGGACTGATTTCCATAGTGACAATTTGTTTTTTTCCCTTTTCTAGTATAGTAATGAGACCAGCATTTAATGTTCCAGAATTCTTTAGAGTACAGCATGTTATGCTATAATATTACAGCATTTATAGTTGCAAATAAAGATCTGTTCCATATTTTGCATGATTCTTTGCTACTCAGATTTTTATATTCTTGAGTGAAATCCTCTCTAGATACAGGTTTGGTATTCCCGTGATAAAAAAAATGATAAAGTCAATTTCAGTAATTCCCTTGAGAGTGCAGGAGCTGTCACTATGATTTTGTGCTGCAGTTTGGGCTGTTGTTTGCTGGTAATAGTGTATTCATGTGTATCATGTATTGACTTGGTAGTACACGTTGCTGAAAGCTTTGCTGCCCCAACCATTTATTTGGTTCACATGCACAGAGTTTTGAGTCTCAGGGATTGCATATTAAAGCAACTAGATCATAATCAATAGTATGGAAATCTTTTCTATGCACATTTTAATAATAGAGGATACATCACTCCAGATGAAGTGAATAAGAAACCATACCAGTTGAAAGAGGATTGCTGTCTATTTTGATTTGGGTTTCCAAAAAATAGGCAATGAATAGCTAGTGAATTAAGGAAAGCATCTCCTAAATATGGAACTCTTAAATACTTTTTATTACCTACAAACACAGATCTAACTCCTGGAGGCATTTCCCACCTTTTTCATTTCATATTGGTGGTGATGGAGTGATGATACCTTGTCCTCCAAGGTAGTTCTACTTGCTAAATTTTAGCTTTATTTCTTTTCTCCTCCCGTGTTCTTGGTACAGATTTGTATGTCAAGGATTAACTTTGTTTAGCCTCCTCACTTGCCCCTACTCTTGTTGCTGTCTTACTGTGATAGCCACAGTTGATTTTAGAGCCTGAGGTAGGAGATAATTGATGAAGTAGGAGTCAGGCTGAGACCCTGAGACCATCGCCTGGAGATCTCAGGGTCAGGGGAGGGCTATTTTTGTGTCTTGTTTTTTTAAGGCTATGCTAACACTTGTCATCTATGAAGCTATCATGTTTATATTTAGGTTTAAATGTTTCATATTTTAAGGGGAAATCTGGAATGGGGATAGGCTTCAGTTTCAATACAGTTTAAATGTTGCTATGTACAACTAATTTCTTTCTTCTTAAAAATCATTAATTATGTTTTTGAAATCTCAGAAATGTTTTTCAATTACTGACTTATCAAATTTGCATTTTGTTAAGCAATACGAGGATTCTCTCCACCACATAGAATCTGCAGTTTTGAAGAGGCAAAGGGTTTGGATAGGATCAATGAGAGAATGCCACCCCGGAAAGATGCTGTACAGCAAGATGGTTTCAATTCTCTGAACGCCGCACATGCCACTGAGAACCACGGGACTGGCAACCATGGTGCCCAGTGACCCACGGCTTCCCAGGGACTCTCACATCTCGGGCCCCAAATGGACAGATCACCCGAGGAACTGGAGGGGTCGGCCAAGTTGACTGTCAATGTCACAGTCCCTCTGGAGAAACCATTGTGCTTTTGAGACCCCAGCCCCCTTCCTGGATGGAGGGTTGAGGGCCCTGGGACATGTGCTAACTGATAAGATTGGGTCATCGCTGCCAAGGTGGAGAGCAGTGAGCAAGGGGCTTGGGGCAATTTCCAGTGGAGGGCGACTACACCTCCATTTATGCTTGTGGTTCACACATTTAAGTTTACAAATGAGATTTCTTTTCCCCCTCAGTAGAATTAGATTTTGTTTTTCAACCATAACTTCAAATACAATCCTAAGAGCTAATGTGGACTTTTTTTTTCCATGAAATGTCTTTAAAGGATGAATTAGCATGGTCTTAAAATACATTTCCGAGGTTACTAAGCTGTATTTTGAATTATGGGCAAAATGCTGAGAAACCCAGTTGGCATTTAAACAAAATGCTGACCTCAGGTCTATAGTTCTTAAATGTGGCTAATTCTGTAATATAGTCTTGGTATTTTTCAATTTTGAATGCATAACCTATTTGTAGGCAGACTCTCTTACTTGAACACAAATCCAAAAACTAATTAGAATCTTTCTTGCCCAGATCTTTTGAGATTTAAACCCCACAGATTTAAGAAGAAAATCTCTAAATTTCAGAATTATGAAGAATTACAGAATTACTCATTTAAGGTACTTTAAAAAGAAGTTTGTACATTGTCAAAGTAATTTTAATTCAAATCATGTCTGTAAAACTTGACGTATTTTGTGTATGCATGTTTTAATTTTGCAGATATTTAATATATAGACCTATGATGTACAGGTACGACATGTATAGGTTACCTAGATGTTACGAGAAATTTTAGTTTATTGTGAGTACTCAAGTTGCTTATACAGCCACCAGGGTGATTTACTGCTGGCTTTCTATCATTTTATGTTTTGATGCAAAGGAAATTTTAAAATGTTCTGGAAGTGTTTTGATTACGCAGTGCAGCATAGAAGCAATGGTTCTGTTCAGTCTTTCAGATGTTAGTGGAAGCATAAGAGTCAGACTGCATGTTGAACATTTTTTTTTGATAGTTACAGAACTGCTTGGTTAAACTAAATGGAACCATGTGCTAATTCTTCACAATTACTGACCTGTATTGACTGCTACTGCAGTTTGGTATTTACCTTTCCTTTGGTGGCTTGCTTCCCTCATGCCCTGGAATACAACTCAGAGCTCCAGGCAGCGGAACCATCTATTGTTTGTTTGCCAGAAAGTGCACCCTGTATGGTCTCCTGTCTAAGTTGGAAATATTATGCATGTGCAGGACTATTCGAGTATTTTATAAACAGTAGCACACAATAAATTCCATGCATGGGCCGCTGCTCCTATCTCTGTGTTGGGTTTTATTTGGAAGATGTAGTCTGATTTGACCTTCTCCTACAAATCAGAAAATCCAGTTAATAGAATTGGGATATATCCTTAAGAGAAAATTATCTCCTGAATAGTTAATGCTAATTTGATGAATTGAATTCTTGTTTTCATGAATTTTGCTCTTTTTTTAAAAAAAACTTTGATCACACTTGTTTTATATGAATTCTAGTAACTGAGCACTAGGAGACTCGATGCCTATTATAGGCCTAAATCTGTTATTTAAAACCAGTGTTTCAGTCAACTTTTAATTGAAAGAAAATGTTATTGTCTATAATCTTGTTACAGTAGTATTTGGAATATATTAGGTGTTTTAACAATAAGAAAAAAACGATACTGCCATTATACTCCTTTCTAATCAAAATAAGTATAGAACTTTGCAAATTGAGGGAAGTTTGCATTTTGTGCAACATTTTATAGTATAAACTATATAGGAAGTTTAATTACAATTTTCAACATTAATTATGATACATTATGAAACATTAAATTGAAATATTTATACTTGCCTAGTTTTTGGTAGCAAAGAGAGCTCAAATTGTTAATCATTACAGCTTCTTGCTGTAATATCATCTCTAAATTAAGAGCTTAACTGATATATCAAGTAGTATTAACTTCTTTAGTCCTTAGGTCCATCACTAGGGTTATATAGTATTTATGGAAGCATAGGTAAACATAAAGCATCATTAGCAAAGCAGAAGAATTCAGGTTAGTGGTAAAAATTAAAAAGAAGAAAATAAGAGGAAGGAATGGAATTCAGAAAAGGTGGTATACATGAAGAGTGGTAGAATATTATCACCCAGTGTCTCATAGATCCTTTCCTATTTGTTGAGTAGGAAACGCTAGTCTGCCTTTTAACTAGTTTTACAATGAACTATAGAAGTATTTTTAAAGTTTTTTAAAAACAACTGATGATGAATGCAAGTTGTGAAAAGTTCAGATCTTCCTAAATTGTAAATTTAAATGTCTACCAGAATAGTAGTAATGTTGGTAAAATTACTATTCAATATCAAATTTTTCCTATATATCATCTCCCTTTACATTCAAAGATGACATTCTGAGTTAGAAAAGACGATCTGATTTCTTTGACCTTTTGCAGTTCAACCATTAACAAACCTCAAAACCTTTAAATGCTGTACCAGTTAAATTTGAATTTGGCCTGAAACCTTTGCTTAAAATGAATTATTCTTATTTTATTCAGGATTTTTGCCTATTGCAACTGATTTTCCTTTTCCACAGCTATTCTACATAATGTTATGTAATGGGGTTTTTTTTTGTTTGTTTGTTTGTTTTGCATCCTTAACACTTTTCTTCCACCTTCCCTGCTTGTAGTTTGTGCTTCTGCAGTTTGAGGTTTCCTTGGAATCCACTCTCTGCATCTGTTCATATGTAGATTTATTTGCCACGGTCCAGGACCTCACTGCAAGTGGTTCTGTTCCCTAGTTTGATGATGTTCACAGAAGCAGGTAAGTGACATAGCTGGGGCCAGATGTGAGCAAAGTCAGGTCTTAGAGTCATACAGAACCATGCACTAGCAACTTCTGATAGGTTCTGGTGCTTAATATAGCTCTAAGTGACAAGGAGCTAGGAATGTGGAATTAAAAATTCTCTGGATCAGCATCCATTATAGGAAGGAATGAGATATTTGAGTTGATTGTTTTCTGTTTTTTTCTGTTCCTAGAAATAGTGTATTTTTAGTCATTAATATATTGATCTTACATTAATATCCCAGAAAATTTTATTCCTTTTTTTTTTTTGCCACATCGTGTGGGTCCAACCCACATCTCCTGCAGTGGCAGCTCAGAGTCTTAACTACTGGACCATGAGGAAAGTCCCTATTCTTCTTTTAAAATAAACAGGTGGAATACCCTGATGACATCTCCTCAGAAAGTGCGTTGCTCTCTTTTCAGGGAAATTGAATTTTACAAATTAATTCTGGATGTTTCTCCTAAAACTGATTTCCCTTTGTTTACCATTAAATGACTATTTCTGTTCTTCTTTTCTGGGCATTATATTTGTACTTAAGTTGTCAAGTTGAGTTAGAGCAGTGTTTGTTATGCTAAAAAGGACGATGGGCTTGTGAGAACCTGTCTTGGGTCTAGATTGACATCTTAGAACTGTAGGAGTTCCTGTTTCTCTGTGCTAATGTGTATCAAATACTGACTTCTGAACTAACCCCCAGGGCTTACTCTTGATGTTGTGGACTGGGAGCAGAAATGTTGTCTTAGTGAGAGAGGTCCAGGAAGCAGTAGGCTTCACCTTTCCTCAGCTGCCTTGGCCTTTGGTGAGCTTGGGAGTGTTGACAGAGTTCTGAGCCTTCTTGGCAGAGAAGGAAGGTCAGAAAGAGAGAAGTTCACGGGCAGGGGGCCAGGCCCTTACTTGCCTCATTAGAGAGAATTCAGTGTTGTCTGTCTGGTTGGCAGGGCACACCTAATCACAGAGACCCAGCATTTCAGCAGTTTGCAAATGAAAGTGATATGAAGGGACAGCTGCAAATCAGCCACAACCTAGATCTGAGGAGATCAAGCATTTACTTCACTTGGAAGAAAGAGAGAAGGAAGGAAGCTGAGGGCTTAGCAGGGTAAGTTACTTTTCCATCAACTCCTCTGCTTGCTTAGTTTATAGTTAAGTAAAGAATTTATCACCTAAGGGAGTGTTAATCACTGATTAGGCAGCTAAATGTGGTCATAATAGCAATGTTCCTAATGTATTTCTCCTTTTTCTCTTTCCCAACCCCTTTTGAGGATCCCCAGTGACTAGCTTCACTTACTCTTCTCTTCCCTACCTTCCTAAAGACATTTTTTGTTTGCTGGTGAATTAGAGAAAATTAGATAAACCTCACTGGTCTGGAGATGGTGAAAAGATGAGTATGATTTGGTGAAATTTGAGTCTGTTGGTGGTAAGGAGCAGGGAAGATGGGAAACCTAGGTGTGAGAATAGGCTAGGTAATATTTTAGGGAATTTAGAGATGAAAAATAAGTTTTTGTAGGCCATTGAATTCATGTCTCCTTTCCAGTGCTTGGAGTTGGTGTTCTCTCTATATACTGAGAATAAATTAAAGCCCAAGTCACTGCCTTTGTTTCTCTCAGGTCAGCCCCCACCCCCACCCCCAAACTTGAAGGATCCTGGATCTCATTGCAGGGAAGTTAGGGCCAGGGGATCAGGGTATACAAACTCAGACATGAGCCTGAAGATATATACAGATGCAAATGCAAAGACCTGGCTTCTCATTCCCACCTTCTTACCTTCCTGCCAGAAAATTAGTCCATTTGTATCAGGAACCCACTCCAGACACAGAGGCAAGTATGACATCAGGGATTTCACCAACACCATACCTCCCCACACTGTGTGATCCCTTGACTTCTAGCCAGTTCAACCAGTCTTCCTTTGGACTTAATCTTCCATTGGAGGAAGGACCTGTCTTTGGAAAGGCAGATAAGTACCCTTCTGGTCTTAATTGGCTTCTATTGCAGAATAAAGGCCTTTGGTTGAATATCAGAAAGATACTACTTTTTGAATTTAAGACTTGATTTCTCTCAAAAATAATTTTCCTCCAAACCTATAAAGAAAAGTCCATTCTTTCAAGGTTTGAGAAGGTGATGTCTTGCCAGAGGGGGCTGAGTAGAGAGAGCATATAAATACTTATTCTAGAATTGCAGTGATTCTGGGAATCAGAAGAATCCTAGTGAAGCAAATGCTTGGTGATTAAAAGTGGAGGGAAAAGCCAGGTCAGTTTTTTTAAATGGGGTCCTAAGGCGTGAGGGCAATTCCATCCACCCTTTAGTAAAGAGAGATGACTCTTAAATCCTAAAATAATGTACTATCTTTAGGTCTAATTTTTTCTTTATTGGTGGGAATATAGAAGATATGATATGCAGATGAGCTTAGTTATTTCTGTTTCGTGGACTTTGAAACTGTTCGTTCATTTATGCAATGAGAGGAAAGAATACAAAGGTAAAATGAAAGGATGAAGAGAAAGAAAGTACGAAGGAAATCAAATTAGTTCTTCCATTAGCCTGGGAACAGTGGTTTACAAGAGCCGTGTTATAAAGTGATGTGTGTTAGCTGGATGATTTGGGGAGAGTTTTTGTTTGATTGTTGTGCCATCTCTATCTCAGCTGAATGAGCATTCTCCCCAACAGATCAGGTCCAGAAGGATTCAGTGTTAGACCATTTTTGAAGCAGAACACAATTCTTGATTTGAACTTTAATAGTTAACTCATTCACAGTAAAACCAGCCACTGTCAGCATTGTCATATCCTGTCATTTCCCTGTACCTGGAGGCATTTTATCTGGGGAGCAAAACAACTTTTTAGCTTCAAAAGCTCTTGTAGATATCTTTCTTTTCTTTTTTTTTTTTTAATTGAGGTGAAATTCACATAACAAAATCCTTTTAAAATGAGCAATTAAATGACATTTAGTACATTCACATTATTGTGCAACCATCACCTCTATCTAGTTCTAAAACATTTTCGTCACTCCCCCCCCCCAAAACAGCATTAAGCAGTTACTCCTCATTCCTCCTTTAACCCAGCCCTTGACAACCATGGATCTGCTATCTTTGGATTTACCTATTCTTGATACTTCATAAAATTAGAATCATAGAATGTGTTGTTTTATGTCTGGCTTCTTTCACTTAGCATAACTTATCCACATTGTAGCATGTATCAGTATCCATTTCTTTTAATGGCTGAATTTATATGTATGTATGTGTATATGTATATGTCTCCCAGTTTGTTTATTCATTCATCTTTTGGTGACCTTTAGTTTGTTTCTGCCTTTTGACTATTGTGAATAGTGCTGCTATGAACATTTGTGTATAAGCATTTGTTTGTGTGCATGTATTTAGTTATTTTGAGTATATACCTAAGAGTGAAATTGCTGAGTCATATGGTAATTCTATATTTAACTTTTTGCAGAGCTGCCATACTGTTTTGCAAAGCAGCTGCACCATTTTGTCCTGCGATCAGTGCGGGAAGGTTCTAGTTTTTCCATATCCTCACCAACACTTTTGTTAATTTCTAGTATTTTGATAATAGCCATCCTAGTGGGAGTGAAGTGTTGTCTCCCTGTTTTGATTAGCCTTTGATTAGTAATGTTTAGCATCATATGCTTATTGGCAATTTGTATATTTTCTTTGGAGAAATGTCTATTCAAGACTTTTGCCCAGTTTTAATTGGTCCATTTGTTGAGTTTAGAAGTTCTTCACGTATTCAGGATATTAATCTCTAATCAGATGTGTGATTTACAAATATCCTTTCCCATTCTGTGGGTTGTCATTTCACTTTGTCCTTTGATGCACAGAAGTTGTAAAATTTTGATGCAGTCCAAGTTATCTTTTTTATTTTATTGCTTGTTCTTTTTGTGTCATATTCAAGAACCTGCCAAATCCAGTATCATGAAACTTTGCTCCTGTGTTCTTCTAAAATTTTGTAGTTTTATCTCTTACAGTTAGGTCTTTAGACTTAATAATTAAACTCATTAATTAAAATAATTAAACCATTCTAGTTCCTTAGTTCCCAGAATTTTCCCACCTACATTTCTTATGCTTATGCTCTTCTTTGTGCTTAGAATTCCTCTTTCCCTGTATTTGTATATTCAAAACATCACCATACTTAATGGTCTATTCCAACTGTTACCTGCTTCATAAAATCTTCCTCTAGCTCACCAACTGAAGAGACTCTCTTCTGATCTCCCATTAGTGCTTTAGTTTCATTTTTCTTGTAAGATTTATACACTGCCTTTTGTTATAGTTTACATCTAACTCTTCTATAAGACATTTAAATGTTCAGTATATTTTCTTCACATTTGTTTCTGTTACGGTATTTTGTGAAGATTTTATCTGTTAATCAATAAGTATTTATTGAATGAATAGGTGTTTTAATTTTTTCCAATATAGTCTCTTTCATTTCCTCAGTCCTTGTAAAAGGAATAGAAGACAGGCCAGGAAAGGAGGATATCACAGAGTTCTTACTAGGTAGTTGGTGAATGTGGGCTTAGTTGTACTTCAGAACTCATCTCTTTAGGAGATTTAACTAATACTACATATAACTTGCTCTAGCTACATAACTCAGCATTGCAAGTGCTAGTGCTCATTTTATATCCATTTGATTTCTACTTTTGGGTTTATTGCTTATAAATGTGATGATAGGTCTTCTAAAATGAATGTTTTCCTTCTCCAACTAGATTAGATTGATTATTTCTCCAATTACATGCTAGTTTTGGACAACCAAAACCTCCCTTGCTTTTTCCTCTATTTTAAGTTGATTTTTAGGAACACACTAGTAGTATATGAATATATTCTTTTTTTTTTTTTAATATATTCTTTGTATAAGAAGTCACACATTGCAAAGAAGTCTAAAGTTCCCTTTCATTGACCTAGTTCCCATTGCAGGGCCTTTGCCCCTTCTCAGAGGAAAAATAACTGTTATCAGTTTTACATGAGCCGTCCCAGACTTTTTCTAAGCATCTATATTATATGTAGAACTTCATGTGTAACACACATATGCATAATTATATTCACATATAATTAATTCTCTGTTTTTTATAACTGCGTGTGGTGATCAGTAATCAGTAGATATGAAATAAATCTTACTATTACCTGGGCCTGAGAGACTAGAATGACAAGTAAAAGGTCAAACATGAAAACACATCACGTGTGTCCAACTTACAAATTTCCATTCCATATCTGTTCTACATATAGTCCCCAGGTATTATCGGACAGGCCATGGCTCCACGGTCCCGACGACGAAGGCACAAGAAATCCCCCTCATCAGTGGCTCCCGTGGTTGAGACCCCACCTACAGCTGTGGCTCCTGTGCCTCTGATCCTCTCTAAACCTGGCCCTAGCATTGATTCACTTGGTTTCTTCTCCTTGGAGAATAATGTTCCTGGCCTATCCCAGCTGATCCTTCAAAAACTGAACATGAAAAGCTATGAAGAATACAAGTGAGTGACTAGCTCTCTGCAAGAGTGATATATTGTCTCTGGCAGGAGGTGGAGAGGAAGTGTAGCTTGGGAAATACGGGGTATTTGCAATGAGGAATTTTCTCATCCCAAATTGTGCCAGTTTTATTACTATAAAAGAAATATGATTTGCTTAAATGAGAAATGATGGGAGTAGGAGAGGTGAAAATATATAGAAGTCAGGGTAGGTATCATGAGAAATTTTGGAGATACTTTTCCTGTTGCCATTCCTTCTCCATACTGTCTCTGCAGGTTGGTGCTAGACGGGGGTACTCCTGTGTCAGGCTTTGGATATCGATGCCTTGAAGAAATGTTCCAGAAGATGGAGGACACATTCCGATTCTGTGCTTACTGTAAAGCACTCCCCAGTGGACTTTCAGACTCCAAGGTCCTCCGGCATTGCAAAAGGTGATTAGTCAGGAGCTAGTTGGGGAAACTTCTGGAATGATCCTATTCCAAGACTTCATTGCAGAAAGAAAGGTCTGAGACTTGTAATACCTTTAGACATTTCAGACCTTCATAACTTTAGGCTCACTCCTCATTTTGTCTGATCTAGGCCACAGAGAAATTAGAAAAGACTTGCTTATAAGGTTCATTTTTATTTTGGTATGGGGAGGTTAGACAGAGATCAGAATATAATCCTTTCTACCTCTCTTCTCTTAAGTACTTAGGTATTAAAACCATATATGTTCTGAGGAGGTTGAGGCCAAGCTTGTGATAATAGAGCAACTACAAACTCCTGGTGGGCTTTCTTTTTTTTTATTTTCTATAAGAGATGTAAAAAGTTAGTTATAGATAGAGGCTGAAGTGTCACTCTGATCCAAGGGAAAAATTGCATTCCCACACTCTCCTTCCTCCTCTGCTAAACGTAGTCCCCAAATTTGGTGCAGCAGCTGTCGTTCCTCTCCCTACCTTCCTCACCCAGTGATCTTTCTTCCTAGGTGCGGAAATATCAGTTCCCTTCCCCAGGCGTCCCCCATTCACCTATGAGGTATAGGAACATCTATTTCTGGGGCTCATTCTCTCAGGTGCAGAAATGTCTATTACTGTGGTCCAGAGTGCCAGAGGTCAGACTGGCCAGCACACAGGAAGGTTTGTCAAGAACTGTGTCTTGTAGCTGTGGACCGTCTCATGGAATGGCTTCTGGTCACAGGTAGAGTGACGGTATTGGGAACTCTGCCATAAAGGTCATAATGAAAGCATGTTTCAAAAAAAAAAAAAAGAGGAACCGAATGGGACAGGGGAGTGGGGCTGCAGTTGTGGTGACAGGTTGGGAGAATGAACATGGAGGGAATATTGAAGTCAGGAAAGGATTAGATCACTTCTTATTCCTTCTTTCCTGCAGGTGATTTTGTCCTACCCTCAGGACCTTGGTCATGGCTGACTGAAGTTGTACAGGGTTGGGACACCTGGTTTTCTATGCGATGTTTACAGCTAGATGATACACTGGATGCTGTGCTTAACAGTCAGGCCATGACCACCCTGTGGGCCAGTGTGAGACGGCCAAGACCAGACCCAGATGTCCTGAAGGGCTCTTTGAAGCGGTTGCTGACAGATGTCTTGTCACGGCCCTTGACACTGGGCTTTGGGCTTCGGGCCTTGGGAATAAATGTTGGGAAGGTTGGGGGAAGCACAGTGCACGTGGTTGGTGCTTCTCATGCAGAGACATTCCTCACTCGCCCTGGGGACTATGATGAGCTTGGCTACATGTTTCCTGGACACCTTGGCCTCCATGTAATCATGGTGGGTGTAGATGTGGCTGCTGGCTTTTCACAGAGCACCTCAGCTTCACTCCTGGAACCTGGCACAGTTCAGCTTAGTGGCCACAGGGGCCTCTATCATGACTTCTGGGAGGAGCAGATAGAGACTGGGCAGATGGCCCATCCAGATTTGGTGGTGGCATTCCATCCAGGTAAGAGCCATTGGTTTGGGGGAATAAGGGGTCAGTCCTCTGGGAGTTTTCCATTCTGGCTCTTGTACTTTTGGAGCCCTCTTCATTGGATCGGGTTAAGCATAATGTAATGAAGACCCTGTTTGATCATTATGTGCTATATTTCGGTTCATAATTTTCCGTTGAAGAATCTAGGGTAGGTGATGGTGGTAGATGAGCATTGGAGGTGAGCTAGGTGAGGGGTGGACACAATTATAGAACTATGTTGTTTGGGGTCTATCTTTGCATTTCCTCTTTCTATTCCCATCTCATTTTGTTCCATAGGTTTCCACGCTTCCCCGGACTTGATGGAGGCTTGGTTGCCTACCCTCTTGCTACTTCGTGATTATGAGATCCCTACAATGATTACTGTTTACAGGTTTTGACCTCCTTTCTTTGTGGTACCTCCTTGATTCACTCACACCTCTATAGATAAGCTCATTTCTCTCCCCTTTGCTCATCTTCTGCCTTCTGGTGAGGATTTTCTTCCTTCACATACTTTCTTATCCCTTCAAAGTGCTATACTAGTTAATTGAGCAGTTAGTATAGACATTTGGGAGGGGGATGGCCATTGCCTTAGTCCAGCCTTAGGTAATTTTGGGGTTTACCAAGCAGTTCCTCTCCTATCTTTTTCATAATCAGCAGAGCAATTTTTTTTTCTTTGTCTTCCATAGCCATCAAGAGTTGGCAGCCTCGTTGCAGATTTTGGTGGATCTGGATACACACATCACAGCCTATGGAGCTAACCCTTTTGCGTCCCTTAAACCTGAACAGGTGTACTCCAACCCCAACAAGCAGCCAGTTTACTGCAGTGCCTACTATATCATGTTTCTTGGAAGCTCCTGTCAGCTGGATAAGAGGCAATTGGAAGAGAAAGTAAATGACAGGGTATAAATAGCTGAGCCAGATCATGACTGGATGTCTAGAAAACGGAGAGGCTGTGATGAAATACCTGCTGATGCCAGATTGTTGCCAACTTTCAAATCCACTATATCGTAAATCTAATTCACTTGTCTTGGTAGATTCTAAGGTTAGCCACATGTTGCTTCTAGAGACAAGATTCTAGATGAGGGCAGAAGGCCCTCATATCAGTCTTTGTATACCATAAAGTTCTTAACAGTTTCCTTCGTGAGAAAGTTACACCTTTTGACTTGAACCACATGGCACCAAGGAGAAGAATGGCACCTTACTCTTTTGAAAAAGACTTTCTTCTTATACAGCAGTTTGGACTAAAAAAAATGCAGATGTCATAATGACTTGAAGTGGTGGAAGAATGAGCAATTCAGAGAAGTGGTTGGGAACATGGGGGAGGTTGTAAAGATTGGCAAACTGTTCTACTTCCTGGCTTTTTCAAGATATATTTCTCATTTTCCTGTTTCTCTTGAGGACTTCTAACTTTAGAGCAACTTTTTGCCCTTGTGTTGTATTTTAGATATCCCAGGGTATCAGACTTTACTTGAATATACTGCAGTTTTGTTATCATTTGGCCTACACCACAATAAATTCAGTTTGGGGCTTCTTAAGTCACTTGTCTTATCTTATTTCCTATTCACTGGCAAGTGTTACTTGTCTACACAGAACATCTCAAGATTGGAGGTTTCTCTCTTGCCAAAGGAGTGGTTAACATCAGCTCTCTTTTTGGACCTGTCACTGTACCACACCCTGTCCGTTGTCATCCATTTCTTTTTTTTTTTTGGTCACCCATTTCTTATCACACTTAGGGATTAGGATATTCCCTAAGTATTCGTTTCTACAACTTGCTATTACCTCAACCTCTCCACTTGTATCCAGAATATTATATAGAACTCTTACAACTCAATAATAAAAGGACAGAAAACTCAATTTAAAAATGGGAAAATGATCTGAACAGATGTTTCTCCAAAGAAGATATAGAGATGATCAATAAGGACATGAAAAGATGCTCAACATCATTAGTCATCTGGAAATACAAATCAAATTTGTATTTGTACAATAAAAAAAGCACTTCTTTTGCAAGGATGACAACAATAAAAAAGATAAGTCTTAATGAGGATGTAGAGAAATTGCAACTCTCATACACTACTAGTAGGGATGTAAAATTGTGCAACTGCTTTGGAAAACAGTCTGGCAGTTTCTCAAGGAGTTAAACATTGAGTTACCATTTGATCCAGCTATTCTCCTAGGTATGTACTCATGAGAAATGAAAACATTTGTGTACAAAGTTCATAGCAGCATTATTCATAATAGCCCAAAAGTAAAAATAACCCAAGTGTCCATAAAGTTGTGAATAGATAAAATGTGGTATGTACATATAATGAGATATTTGGCCATGCTGGGAAGGGTTGAGGGCAGGAGGAGAAGAGGGCGACAGAGGATGAGATGGTTGGATAGCATCATCAACTCAGTGGATATGAGTCTGAGCAAACTCCAGGAGATAGTGAAGGACAAGGAAGCCTGGTGTGCTGTAGTCCATGGGGTTGCAAAGAGCTGGACATGATTTAGTGATTGAACAACCAGAATGAAGTATTAATTCATGCTTCACATGGATAAACTTTGAAAACACATTCATCCATCTTCATGTTAAGTGAAAAGCCACTCATAAAAGACTACATATTGTCTGAGTGCATTTATATAAAATGTTTAGAGTAGGCAAATCTGTGGAAACAAAGTAGATTAGTGGCAGCATAAGATGACTGATGAGGGTATTGAGGATGATGGATAAAACATACGGGGTTTATTTTTGGGGGTGATGTGTTTGCTAAAGTTGATTGTGGTGATAGTACAACTCTATATTGAAAACCATTAAACTGTATACTTTATATCAGTGAATTAAAATGAAGCTATTACCAAAAAACAATTTTTTAAATCAGTATAAAAGTGAGAATATTTGTTAAGTGCTTAACACAGTGCCTACCACATAGTATGTAATTAATAAATGGTAGCTATTACTGAATACATACCACTTTAAATTTTATTCAGTAACATAAGTAGATTGAATTCACTGTGCAAGATGGCTTGACAGTGGAAAAATGGGTGGGAATGCCATTTTTATGGTTCAGATGATGTACATGTCAGCTAAAGTCATTTACAGAAGGTATGGCAAAGAAGAGGTAATTTCTAGCTGTAATGAGGAAAGCAAATAGGTAGATAATGACATTTTGTAGCTAGAACATGTAAATAAAATATATAGGGCTTGATTACTGATTTTTATGTGTGAAGTGTGATATAGCTAAGAATCTAATCAGGAGACAGAAACCACATGGTAATGGGTGACACAAAAATTTCCAACTTACAGTGGTGATGACAGTACATGAAAGTGCCTTCACTTCATGCTAAATGCTGAGGATTCTAAGTTTGCTTTTGCCCTTAAAGTGTTTACAGTTTACTAGGAGAAGACTGACAAAAGCAGGAGCAATATAATGAGTTATATTTTCTAAAGTCAGCATGTGAAGTAAAAAAAAAAAAATCTGTATTTTCAAAACTACATTGAAATTCCCTTAGGATAACACTCTATTGAGGATTCCAACATATCCTTCTCTCAACAAGTCTCTCAGAACCAGTTTTCTTCTCCAGTATTGGGGGAAAAAAAAAAAACTTTATTTAGTTGATCACTGAATGAAATAATTGGCTTGATTTTGGGGGGCCCTGTTGTAGTTAACAACAGATTTATTGAACATTTATTTCTAGTCACTAGAGATATCCCTGTTCTCAAGGAGCATACATTCTGAGGGCAGCAGAGGGAGATGACAAATAGTAAATACAGAACTTGATCTGCTTTTAAGTGCTACAAAGAAAATTAAATAGGGTAATCAGCGTGTTTAACTGGTGGTGGTATTGGTGGCAGTGGGGCTACTTAGGCTACAGTGCTCAGGGAATATGTACCTTTCTGAGGAGATGGATGATATTTGAGATATACAATGGTGAACATTCTAAGTTGGAGCAATAACAAGTGCAATGATCCTGAGAATGTCTGGTGTATTTGGTCACGAGGCTGGTATGTTTAGACCAAAGATCGTTTTGATCAGAGTTTACTGCTTGAGAAGGAAGATGAAGAGGGATGAAGTCAGTAAGGTAGGCAGGGGCCAGAGTATATGGGCACATACAGAGCATAATAGACAGTGGCTTTTGAGTTTGGATTTTATTCTGCTTTCAGTGGGAAGCTAGTAGAGTTTAATCAAGGAAATTATATGATCAAATCCATTACTAGGATTTGATTTATTAGGAAGATCAGCCTAACTCAAGGAGTTTCTTAACCTCAACATTACTGACATGTCAGGCTGAATAATTCTTTGTTGTAGGAGGGTGCCCAGTGCATTGTAGAATGTAACATCCTTGGTGTCTCCCCACTGATTCTAGTAAAACCCTTCTGGTTGTGACAACCAAAAACATCTCCCAATTTTGCCAAATGTCCCACTGCGGACAAAATTACTGTTCTGTCTGTACAAAAGCTGTGTGCTTTTAAGAACATTCCCATTAGGAGAAGCAAAATGGCTCCTGTTTCACATGAACTCTGGAGCAATTGATGACCTTCAGAGGTGTTTTGTTTTTGCTAAGTTTATGTGGTTAAATACAGGTAAGGTAAATGTATGCTATGACTACTGTTAAATGTGCCATAGCAGATATCTACAAAAGGTTTAGTTGGGTGCACAAAGGGAGTCTACCCAAGAGAAGGTAAGGAAAAGGAAACGGTCAGGAAAAGCTGCTTGAGGCAGGAAGGAGATGGGTGATCTTTGAATTGAATCTTAATAGATTCATAATTGTTGGAAGGCATGCAGTACTTTCTAGGGAGAGGCAATATGAAGAAAGGACCTCTGATCTTAGAAGGCCTCGTCAGGCAAGAAGGATGAGCTGAAACGATGAAGTGGAAAATCCAGCGGTACTGCCAGAATAGGCTACTGGATATTTGGGCCTATAGCTCAGGAAAGTGGGCTGGAAATAGGCTTGGAAAATAACCTCTCAAGGTGATAGTTAAGGCAGAGGGAAGGGCAGGGATGAGATCAGCAAGGTATTATTAGTAATATAGAGCAAAGAGGAGTAAGGACACCCTTGTTACGGAATGCTGAGATTCCAGAGGTCTCCAGGCAGACTGGGCAGAAAGGCCCAATGTTTGCCAGACAGACTGGTGGGAGCTGGGAAATTAATGTTGGGTTCCCAAAGAGTTGTGCAGTATTGTTTAAATTTTGGCAGTGACCTTTCTCAAGTATCTTACACTTCATCCCTGTATTAGGGCCATGCATATTTTGCCCTTCCCACATAAAAATTTCATCCACCCTATCCCACCCCATGAGAAAGCCTTGGGATAGTTCTCAAAGTTTAGTGTGCATAGACCGACCTTGAGGGCTTGTGAAAACAAACTGCCACGCTTCACCTCTAAACTCTCGAGGTGAATTAGACTCTTAATTAAGAAGGTCAAAGGTGGAGCCCAATAATTTGTGGTTCTAACAGGTTTCCAGGATATGTGGCGGCTGCCAGTCTGGGGACCACAGTTTGAAAACCACTGTAAAAGGTAGCTAGTTGTCTTTTTGTTGCTTTGGAAAATAAACTTTTTTAATGAGTTTAAAATACTGCTCTGGGCCTTGAAATGGCCTCAAATGTTTAATGCTAGTGTGTGTGTAATTCGAAAGGACTCTGGTGTGAGAGGAGCCTAGAATCACCTAACTCCCTTCTGGAGAGGTTTTGATTAATCTCGTGTTCCTACTACCTAGGATCCCCATGAATATTCATTTCACAAGGCACTATTAAAAGACACTCTTCTTGTCCTTAGAAGATACCAGACAGGACTGCACATCAGGCAGAGAGGCTGACCCGGGCCTCCAGTCTCGAGGCTTCTGCCGCCCTCCACTGAAGGGGCTCCAGGACGCCTCAGAACCGCCTCAGTTTCCCAAATGGCTTGAGAGCCCAGAAGGAACTGTGATAAAACTGGCTGGTGCACCCGAAGGGACCTCCTCTTTGCAGGTGGAGCGGCGACGCGGGGTCGAAGGGAGAGCCCGAGCCGGGGTCCCGCCGGCACCGCCCTGTCCTGCCCCAGAGGCGTTCCCGGCCGCGACTGCTGCCCTAACGGGCTCCGGCGGCGGCCGGGGGCGCCCCGCCCTTCCCGGACCCGCCCCCGGCTCCATCTTGCCCCGGACCAGGTTGGGCAGTGACGCTGCTCCGCGGGGTCAGGTGAGGAACGGCGCCCCCTACGCTTGCAACCCCTCAGCCCCTCGGTTTCCGTGCCCCGCCCAGCTCCGTGGCCGGCCACCCGGGAGTGGGCGGGGCCCCGCCTGCGGCCTCGAACCGGCGGGGGGACCGGGGGGAGGCTGGAGCGGCCTCTAGGCCCCAGGGGTGGCCGGCGACTCGGTGCTCGCATCTTGGGACCCGGGCTGCCTGGTGGGGACGTTCGGGCGGGGTCGGCGAGGTGGCCAGACGGCGGGAAGTCCTGTTCGCTGGGTGTCTCTGCCCGTCGTCTGTCCGGGGATCCTAGGGAGCAGTGGGGCCTCCGGCGCAGGCAGGTGGACCGCAGGTGGAGGGACTGAGGCCGGAGGATGGCCCAGATGAAGCGGCCCTATAGGAGAGCTGAGTAGAGAAACCAGCGGGCAGCTAAGTCCGACTGGACTTCTTGGTGACACAGCAAATTTAAGGAAACTTGGGAAATTTGTATTTTGCTTGGTGAGTCCTAGGACGAATGCGGAAGCCTAAAATTGTACACTGGCCCAGGTTTATAATTCTTGGAAACTATTGTAGGAAGTAGCATTCCAGATTTGATTCCTAGTCCCAAAAGGGCAGCAAACCTGTGTGGATATGAGCCTAACCTGGGTGAATTCTACAGAAGGAGATGGCTGATGTCCTCCATAAAGTGACAGAAATGAAAGGAAGTCGTCCAGCTGCCTCTAAACTTCCTTAATTTCTGCCAGTTGGTGGGGAACTGATCTGATAAAGTAACCTGTCCTAATTAGATAATGAGTATAATGAGTTACCTACCAGTCAGGGAAGGGGTTTCAAGTACTAGATAAGGAGGTAGAAGAGGGAATTTCAACTACTGCAAACCAAAGCCTTTCAGTCCTTACTGGTGGTGTCTGCCTACCCTGTCCATGCCAGAGCTTATAGTCCTGCTTTCAATACTTATTGAAGAGCCCTTGCTGACAGATTTAAAGGGTCCTTCCCAATCAAGAGGCAGATTTTGGAAAATTGTAGTATCTACTGTTGGCAATCTTCATTCACCCTTCCTGTTTTGTTTCATTTGTTTCATAAATTTGGAACAGCTGCCTCCTGTATTCCTGGGCTTCATGCCATCTCTGAGACTTGCCTAGTGAGACCCAACCCTTTTAGTAGTTGACTCACTGGGTGGAGATGGTTTGGAGAACCAGGAATGCTTTTCTAGTCTTTTTAAAAGTAGTTGCTGACTAAGAATATTGAAAAGGAAGTAAAAGTTGTGGTTCACTAGTATAGTCTTAATTATTCTTTGGGCAAAGTTGAGTAGTTTGTTGAGTCACCCTTGGGTTTGTTTAAGCTTTGTACAAGAGCTTTTAAAATCTGAAATAGATGATACATGCATAATTCCAAAAGGTCTATAGCTACATGGAAAAGTCTTGTTATGCTCCAGTTCTCCTCTCCAGAGGCAATTTCTGTTTCCTACTTTGTTGAGTCTACTTTCAGGGATATGCTCTATATACAAGTAACTGTATGTTTTACACATTCAGTTACAAATTATCTATGCAGTTTTTCATCTTGCTTTTTTCCCACTTAATGTGACTTAGAGATGGTTTCGTATATTAATAAAAGGAGAGCTGCTCATGTTTTTTATTAAACTGTTTCTTTTGTATTGGAGTATAGTCAGTTAACAATGTGATAGTTTCAGGTAGACAGCAAAGGGACTCAGACATTCATATAAGAGAGCTGCTCATTTTTAATAGCTGCCTAACTTTTTATTGTATGGCTATCTGTAATCTCTTTTGGTCTTATTAATGGTCTTTTAGGTTTTTAATGTTTTATTTTGGCCACACTACATGGCATGAATTATGCCCAACTAGGCCATAGCAGTGAAAGTACTGAATCTTAACCACTGGACTGCCAGGGAATTCCCTAACCTTTTTTTGTTACAAATAGTGCTGTAATGAATAGCTTTGTATGTATAATAATTTTGCATTTTTTAAGTATTTTTATAAAGTACATCCTGGAAATGGAATTGCATTCTATTCTTTTATATTATTATTCATTAAAATGTACCCAGATTCACTTTCTTAAAGTTGCTTTGTTTTCTCACATGCAGATAGTATTTATTTTCATTCTTTTCTGAAACTCTTGTTGGCATAATTCCTCTAGAACCCTTAAAAGTGAGACTTAATGTAGTAGTTTTAGACTGTAGAAATAGGACTTTGTCACTGGAACAGTTCCTGAAATTTAGAAATTTAAGTTGCTTATGTAGTCTTTGGTGCTATAACACTTGTTGTCTTTAAAATTATTGTTAATTTCTCGCATAAATTATTTTCAGACTTTTCCTTTGGAACCTGACCTCTTTTACCCTTGGTCCATCTGACTGTTCTTAGATGGCATTGCTTCTCCTTTACTCCTTTTATCAACTGGGCTTGGAGAAGAAGAAGAAAAAAGAAAATGATTTAACATCCTTTGCATCCAGGTCTTTGGATCCCAAGTGACTGCTTTAGAACTGTCTGAATCAGTATTCTTATTATCTTTCTTAGTAATTTTTAACTTCCACTAGATATATGCCCACTCATTCTCAATTTAGCAAGTTTTTAACTTCTGTACTGTGCTTATGTCATAAGGGACACAATAATTAAATTTATTTTCTAATTTTCCTATACTATATATTCAAAAGGCAGGGTACTTCCCCCTGCCCCTCTTATCTCTTTATCAGCACCTAGAACAGTGCTTATCACATGATGGGTTTTCATAAATGTTGAACTGGATTTGTTTGGGATCTTTTTTATTTTAATTGGAATATAGATTTACAGTATTGTGTATATCAGTGTTAGTTTCAGGTGTATAGCAAAGTGAATCACTTATACATATACCCACTCTAGATTCTTTTCCCATATAACTCATTACAGAGTGTTGAGTAGAGTTCCCTGTGCTAAACAGTAGGTCCTTATTTGTTATCTGTTTTATATATATTACTGTGTTTATGTCATTGTTTGTGGTCTTGATAGAAGAGAAATACAAATCATTTATAGCTGTACTGGGGATAAGAGCCAAAACACATGTTGATAAACTTGACAAATTAAATGGTAGATTCAGAAATGCCTAAATATTCTGATATCAAAATATTGTTCACAGACCAGCAGCAATAGCATCACCTGGAAGTGTAGTTAGAAATACAGAATCTCGGGCCCCATCTCAGAACTACTGAATCAGCCTGCCTGCTAGACACTTTCTTTCAGAAGATGTGATTTTATTTAAATTGTGACAATGTATATCGTCAAAGGCCTTATTCCTTATGGGAAATTACAGAGGACATTTCTTATTGTTGTTACAGAATGTCATACCCAGGCTATCCCCCCACAGGCTACCCACCTTTCCCTGGATATCCCGTAAGTATTGCCACTTATGACACTAAAATAGCTCATGTCCTTGTAACAGGTGTTGTATGGGACTAGCCAGCCCATGACAGATCTTACAAATATGCTGGAGCAAGGGTCATAAATTCAAACGGCCAGAAGTACTGAGTAGAGTACGTGAGTGAAGGCAGGGCTGTGGAGGAGCTACTGGGACTTGCGTCACCTATGGAAAGGCGCCTGTTAGTCCACTTCAGCCTGATGTGGCCACGCAGGGAGGTTGCTTCAGTGTTGCTGGATATTCCATTTCTTTAAGTAGAGCCAACGATCTAGATTTTATATGAAACTGCCCATTTTTTTTAAATTGGGAAATGCATATTTTTAAATGTTAAATACAGTATGATTCAATACAACATGTATGTAAACTAAATCCATCCTATGAGTCACTGGTTTTTAACCTTTGTGTTGGATGTTTAAAATAATTAAGAAGGGCAGCCATGAAATTAAAAGACGCTTACTTCTTGGAAGGAAAGTTATGACCAACCTAGATAGCATATTAAAAAGCGGAGATATTACATTGCCAACAAAGGTCCGTCTAGTCAAGGCTATGGTTTTTCCAGTGGGCATGTATCGATGTGAGAGTTGGACTGTGAAGAAAACTGAACGCCGAAAAATTGAACTGTGGTGTTGGAGAAGACTCTTGAGAGTCCCTTGGACTGCAAGGAGATCCAACCGGTCCATCCTAGAGGAGATCAGTCCTGGGTGTTCATTGGAAGGACTGATGCTGAAGCTGAAACTCCAGTACTTTGGCCATCTCATGTGAAGAGTTGACTCATTGGAAAAGATCCTGATGCTGGGAGGGATTGGGGGCAGGAGGAGAAGGGGATGACAGAGGATGAGATGGCTGGGATGGCATCACCGACTCAATGGTCATGAGTTTGAGTAGACTCTGGGAATTGGTGATGGCTAGGGAAGCCTGGCGTGCTGCAATTCATGGGCTCGCAAAGAGTTGGACATGACTGAGTGACTGAACTGAACTAAACTGAACTGACTCAGAGAACACCAGTTGCAGTGGATTAGAGGGCCCTGGATTTGTAGTTCTGAGACTTCTAGTATTCTGAGTACATGTTATAAATGTGCTACCAAGTTCTGCTTTGTTGTTTATCTATACTATTCTGAGGACTAACCTCATAGCTGAGGTTAGTGTATTTCAGCTTTATGCTTATAAGTATGTAGGGCTTCATTGTAACTCTGGGTAAATAGAAAGAGGGGCCTATATGGATTAGTGACAATATGTGTACCTGTGTGTAAAGTGAATATACAGTTCTCCTGAATTTGTCATAAGATAAATGAAATTTGTAACTATGTTCCCAGGTCCTTATATACTAAACTGGACTCTAGCAACCATTTCTGTCAGTATAGGCTAATTGCTAAAACAGACAGTTTTAACATCCCCATGGCTCAACACAATAAAAACCTATTTCTTGCTTACTCCAGTCTCCTGGAAGCCAGTAGTGGGGATGACGGGGAAAGTGTGTGGTAGGGAGCTAAGAGACTTCGTTCCATTTCATCTTGGGGGTTTTCAGGCTCCTTCTGTCCTCTATTGCCTTAGTATATTGACTCTACCATCCTCTAGTGCTTTGGAGTCCTCCACTGGATTCTTTGCTTCCAGGTGTCAGATGAAGGAAGTGAGAGAGGAAGAGAGATCTTAGAGGATGGGGCAGGAAGTCATGGGGACCAGGCTGGAAGTGGTGTACATTGCTTCTGTCCACTGTCGTTTACCTATCAGTCCTATTTTACTGTAAGGGGGTCCTGGGAAATGTAGTCTCTGTGGCCTGGGAAAAAATTTAGTGAACATGTAACAGTCTTTTGGGGCTTCCCAGGTGGTTCAGTGGTAAAGAATCCACCTACCAAGCAGGAGAAGTGGGTTCAGTCCCTGGGTCAGGAAGATCCCCTGGAGAATGAAATGGCAACTGACTCCAGTATTCTTACCTGGGAAATCCCATGGACGAGGAGCCTGGCAGCTACAGTCCATGGAGTCTCAAAGCGTTGGACATGACTTAGTGGCTAAACAACAACAGTTTCTTCAGACTTAGACATTGTGTGATCTGAACTGAGGTCCAAAATGTCACACCCAGTATGTGCTCAGGTCACTTTTTTATTCTTTCTATTATACACAGGTCCAGGTGTATTACAAGAAAGCCATGAATTATTCTCTTTAGGGTAGAGAAGGCAGATCTTTCCCATATTTCCAGGTGCTCAGAAAATGAAGGAACTATATTGAGCCTTGCTAGTTGTTCATGAAGCCTTGAGATTTGAAAAGAGACACTCCCAAATAGAGAAACAGACTCTTCTTGCCTAACACAAGTAGATTTACATAAAACTATATTCTGACAGAGAGGTATCCTGACAGACTACTATACTGATAAACTAATATGAGATAACCAGGACTTTTAATGGGCTTTTTAATATGTAAAAGAATAAGCTAGACCTTAACCGTTATCTGTTTTCTTAGCTACGTTCTATTTCTCAATGATCACATTCATTTGAAAACTTTTCTGGTTTTTCAGCCTACGGGTCAGGAGTCATCTTTCCCCCCTCCTGGTCAGTATCCTTATCCTAGTGGTTTTCCTCCAATGGGAGGAGGTGCCTACCCACCAGCACCGAGTGGTGGCTACCCAGGAGCTGGAGGCTACCCTGCCCCTGCTGGTTATCCAGCCCCCGGAGGCTATCCCGGCGCTCCGCACCCAGGCGGGGCTCCATCCTATCCTGGAGGTGAGTCGTGGGTTGTGGAAGTAGTGTAACACTTTTTTCTTCTCTCTTTAATCCTTTTGGTTCCTGCTTGTTTTGTATGAAATCAGAGTTGCTCTTAGCCTGCTTTCTACCTTAGATAGTAAGGACTTAGCTGGCAAGATAGAGGGAGAAAGATAAACAGGAGGCATGAAAGCTGGAGCATTCTCAGGAGCGATCTCCAAACTTCTGTTGTGAAGGAATTAGAATAAATCTCATGATCATAAAGGACTAATGGTTTGCTTGATAATTTGTAATCTTAAGAACTGATTGAGGGATTTGATTTTAGCATGATTGTGACCTTAGGACAGCTCTATCCACAAGGTGTAAAAAAAAAAAAGAGAGAGAGAAAAAACAGCACTTTCATATCATAAGTCATTAGGGCAAATGAAAGAAGTAGCATTTTTTAAAATGTATTTTTTAATGGGGAAGGAGTTGTTGAGAAGTTGAATTTAGACCAAAGGGACTGCTGCTGTAGCATTATAGAACATTTCTTTTATTACTTGTAAAGTTTTCACTTCAATCATGAGACCTGTCACTATAGTTTATTTTTCTCTCTTGTTCTTCTTCCAGGCCAAGGGTTTGGAGCCCCACCAGGTGGAGCAGGCTTTCCTGGCTATCCACAGCCACCTACACAGTCTTATGGGGGTGGCCCAGCACAGGTCCCGCTACCTGGTAAGTATCACTTGTCCAGAGAAGCACGATGGCTTGATATTTTGAATTTTTCAGTTGCCATTGAAAGAACTTAGTTTGTGTTTGGGATCATCTTTAGTAAATACTAAATACTTCTTAGGTACTGTCTGATTTCATGAAATGTATTAATCTGATAAAAAAGTTTAATCATAAGATGGAAATAAGGACCTGTTTTTTTCAATTAAAAAAAATTATCTCTCCTGAAGCCAAAAAAACAAAACCTTTAGGAATTTCTCTGTCATTCGTGTAACATAAGGGAATGAGCCCAGAATCATGTGCTGCCATCCTTTCCAGACGGAATCAGAATTTGATATTGTTCAACTATTTTGTTCTTCTTTTTAAAGTATTATTTTTAAAGAAATTATGTTAAATTATTTTAAAGAAATTAGAACATGGAATATTTTTAAAGGTCCTTGTGCCCAAAGTTGGTTTTTGATTCAATGTATCATGATACTTAAAAATTATTCTAGTGAATAACATAAGTGTGAATGTTCTCATGTGTTTCCATGTTCATAATAAATCAGTGCTGTTTTGAAAAATTAAATCAGTTAATACCTGTTTGCTCTATTTTTTCTTAATATATAGGTGGTTTTCCTGGTGGAGCGATGCCATCTCAGTATCCTGGAGGACAATCTCCCTACCCTAGTCAGGTATTTTTTGTTCCTATCTTTTAAATTAAGTCTGCTAAAGAAGGGCACTACTCCTTTATTGATCTTCGAGATTTCCTTGAAGCAGGGAAGATGGTCTGTAAGAGACACTTAAGGCTTTAATCTTTGCTTCTGATAGACTCCATGCTCTTTGGTCCACCAGTGTCCTGATGACTTTGATAAGACAAACATAGGTCCCTTCTCCCAGGTGATGACACCCATACTCTTTTTTTCATAGAGATTCACTTGAATTGCTCGGCATTGGTTTTCATTCTTTTTCCTCCTCCCTTGCTGGCAGTATAACTATGAAATCAAGTGGTTGGGTTATTGATATTTCTAGCTGTGTTTTATGAAGTATGGTTTTATTTTCCATTTTTGCCTTTATAACTTTTACACTCTTCTTTCAGATCAATACAGAATCCTTTCCTTCCTATCCTGTTTTCTCTCCTGTTTCTTTGGATTATAGCAGTGAAGTGAGTAAGGTTTCTAATGTTCACTAATCACTCAATCCCCTAAACGTGCCTTCATTTGTTTCCAATTTCTTGTGTATTTGTCTCTCACCACTTCCTTGAGGGCTCACGATAGCTATTTTATCTTTATGTCCCTCTAGTGCTTGGCAGGCCCCTTAAGTGTGGTAGTGATTAATGTCTGTTAAATTGATTTTTCAGTAGTCTCAGAAGGTCTCCCATATATCATATCCTTGCCCCATTTCAGTGTAGCTCCTTACTTTAATATTAAGTTTTATTCTTTAATTGACTCGTTATTTCTTTTATACCCTATATTGCAGTTTTATGTTTACTTTAGCTTGATTTTCTCATTTCATACTGTCTGTTCATAAAAGTCTAGCATTTTTAAGCTTTTTCTTTGGTTGGGTTGGGAAAGGGATTACAGTATTGGAAGAGAAACAATTTAGCCATTTTCTGGCTTACTTTCCTGATTTGAGGTGTTTGACCTCCAGAGAGATTAAGGAACTTGCCCAGGGCCACACAGCTAGTGAATGGCAAAGCTGAGACTAGATCCTAGCTCTTCTGCTTCCCAGAGCAGTGGTCGCTTTGGCAAAATATGCTACTTTACTGATAGAGTAAATGATATTCCTTGAAAGCCCATAGTAAATTGCTTTCACTTCTTTTGTTGAAAGTTGATTGTTAATCATACTATAAATCTGTAGCGATTCTAATCATTTGTTATGAAAATTTTTATTTTAGCTTAGTTTAAGCATGCATTTACTTTTAAAGACATCATTTTATGACTGAATATAAAAGATTTTTAAACATAAAAACACTTATACACATATACCTGCAGCTTATCTTGTGTAACAATTACCACCTTAAGCTAAAACCAGGGAGTTAACAGAGCAGTAGATTTTGGAAGAGCTTTTAGATGGAGATGGAATAGACTACCTGTGAGCTCCCTGTCACTGAAAATCCGCTGGTGGAGGTTGGTTGCTGTGTGTGTGTGTCTTGGTTGAGTAGTTCAGGAAGTGACCTCTCTTGATTGATCCAATTCAACTTCTATGGCAGTTTTTCAGCAGGAAGTTTGGAATCAAATGGGTGCCAAAGGGTGGAACTCTTGGTGGCAGATAGTATGGGCTTTGCTGTGCTGGGAAATCCTTTGTAGTTAGAGATTTGACCTCAAGAACATGGACCCTGATTTCTCTTGAGTTCAAAATAATGCCTGCAGGATGATAGTGTTCTTGATGAAGAGTCACTTCAAACTTAGACTTTGAACAAAGAATAAAACAAAGCCATTTTTCCCTCCAGATGAAAAATGGAATAGGTTTTTGTTGTTTTTGTTTTTAGAAACAAGATGACAAAATGAGAGTCATCAAACAGTACCTGATGGGAGTTAGTTTCTCTTACTACCTAGTTCAGTGTATTTTAAACAGAACCTTCTGCCCTGCTTAGGATTTTAGTCACAATGGTTACATCAAAGGAAACTTTCATAGTTTTTGGTACATGAAGCCTCATGTAAAGACAATACTAAGATCATGGCATCTGGTCCCATTACCTCATGGGAAATAGATGGGGAGACAGTGGAAACAGTGTCAGATTTTTTTTGGGCGGGGGGGCTCCAAAATCACTGCAGATGGTGACTGCAGCCATGAAATTAAAAGATGCTTACTCCTTGGAAGGAAAGTTATGACCAACCTAGATAGCATATTAAAAAGCAGAGACATTACTTTGCCAACAAAGGTCCGTCTGGTCAAGGCTATGGTTTTTTCCAGTGGTCATGTATGGATGTGAGAGTTGGACTGTGAAGAAAGCTGAATGCCGAAAAATTGATGCTTTTGAACTGTGGTGTTGGAGAAGACTCTTGAGAGTCCCTTGGACTCCTAGGAGATTCAACCAGTCCATCCTGAAGGAGATAAGTCCTGGGTGTTCATTGGAAGGACTGATGCTGAGGCTGAAACTCCAATACTTTGACCACCTCATGCGAAGAGTTGACTCATTGGAAAAGACCCTGATGTCTGGGAGGGGTTGGGGGCAGGAGGAGAAGGGGATGACAGAGGATGAGATGGCTGGATGGCACCACCGACTTGATGGACATGAGTTTGAGTAAACTCCGGGAGTTTGTGATGGACAGGGAGGCCTGGCGTGCTGCGATTCATGGGGTCACAAAGAGTTGGACATGACTGAGCGACTGAACTGAACTGAAAGCAATATGTTGAAAAAAATCTTTCTACTTGAATATATGCTACAAGTAGAATATTTTTAGTTTTTCCTTAAAACCACAATACAAATATTTCTTGTTAGTTCTTTGCTTACATTGCTGGCTTAGAAACTAGTGACAGATGACTGTTAGGCTTATTGGTAGAAAAAAATGTATAGATGAGTGGGAGGAATTACAGACTGTAAAAGTGTTTGCTGAAAGGTGGTCTGGTCTGCTTCTCCCCAAACACTTTGTCCCCACAGGTATTCAATGGGTATAACTTGAAATACAGTTTCAGTTGCCTAAATAGCAGCTGAATAATTTTATATTTTGAAACAATGTTGATTTCATCTTTAAATGATACTTTAGAAATACTTGGTTAAATAAAATATATTATTTAAATTAATTTTTAAAAAATGTGGTGGGATATCATCTTGTCTCATTTCATCTCTCTTAAGCCCTGATTTGCGTCTTTTAAGAAAACTAATAAACTGTTTCATAAATTTGTATTTAGAATTTTTAAACTTAACTTTGTAATAATTTCAGACATTAAAAAGTTGTAAAAAATTATCTATGGTTTAGTTACTAAGTGTGTCTGACTCTTTGCGACCCCATGAACTATATGTAGCCTGCCAGGCTTCTCTGTCCATGGGATTTTTCCAAGCAAGAATACTGGAGTGGGTTGCCATTTCCTCCTCCAGGGGATCTTCCTGACCCAGGGATCAAACCCAGGTCTCCTGCATTGCAGGCAGATTCTTTACTGACTGAGCCAATTCCTATATACATACCCTCTACTCAGATTTCCCAAATATTAACTTCTTACATAAATACAATAATCAAGAATTAATGTTTTAATGATACTATTACTCCACCTTTAGACTTTATTCAGATTTCATCAACTGTCCCAGTAATGTCCTTTCGGCTCAGGATCAAATCCAGGATGAAACACTGCATTTGTTGTCATGTCTCTTCAGTTTCCTTTAATATGAAATAGTTCTTCAGTCCTTGTTGTTCATCACCCTGACATGTTGGAAGGGTACTGCCAGTTATTTTGTAAAATACTCCTTTATTTGGGTTTGTCTGGTAAACCCCTCTGATTAATCTAGGCTATGCCTTTCTCACAGGAGCACCACAGAAGTGAGGTTGTGCCCCTAGTGCATCTTATCAGGAGGCACTTACTGTTGATTTACCCTCTTACTGGTGATAATTGGTGTTGATCATTTGTTTCAGATAATGTCTGCTAGGTCTTCTGCTGTAATGTTACAAAGTATACAAATTATACTTTCACCCACTAATTTTAGCATCAAATTAGTGATTCTTGCCTGAAACACTTCTTACTTGGTCTTTGTCATTGGTGATTTTTAAATTTCTTCATAGATTGGTGTTTAAAAAATGTATCCATTGTCTTTCTTTTTGGTTTATCCTTAAAAAATTGATAAATAACTCCAAGAGTCTCTAGTCATCAATTTCATTTTTGTGCCTTTCTTATTTTAATATGTGTTACTTTATGTCTAATAATCAGAGCCTATACTAAAAATGAAGAGAGATTACCAAAATTACATTGCTTGTTTGAAATCTCATTGGGCAACTCCGACTCTGCCTCTCTAAAGCCATTATTATATTCTTTAAATAAAACACTGCCACTCATCTCACACTACTCAGGGATCAATCTCTTTTCCTCCCTATTCTCCCTTGAAGGAAACCAAGGCATAGAAAGATTGTGACTAACTTCACAAGCTTGACTGTCTTGCTTCCTGAAAGCTTGGTGTCTTGCTCTCTTTTGGCAGGAGAAGGATAGTCTCTATCTGTTCTGCCACAAAAATAAATATTCTTGTCCTGAAACCTCAGCACTGGCTTTCTTGCCTAAGAGTGATGATTGGAGAAGTCTTAAGTTGTTGTCTTATTAGCAAAGAAACCTGAGTTGGGAGGGATTTTTTTTTAAACTAGTGTTTCTTTTATTCAAGATGTTGAACATTTTTTCATACTGTTTTTCTCCCAGTCTTACTGAAACCCAGTTGAAATAGAACATTGTGTTAGTTTTAGGTATGCAGCATGTTGATTTGGTATATGTATACACTGTGAAAGGATTAGATTACCACAATAACTGACCTGGAGTTTATGCCTCTTGTTCTCAGCCTGCTGCAATGACTCAGGGAACTCACGGAACAATCCGACCTGCTGCCAATTTCGATGCCATGAGAGATGCTGAAGTTCTTCGTAAAGCGATGAAGGGTTTTGGTAAGGAAAACATATTTTTGTCTTATTTATAAGTTCAAGTGATTGGATATAAAGTAAAAATAAGGTTTATATCATACAGCCAAGTTTATATGTGAGCCTGTGTGCACACGCCTCAATTTAATCTAGCACCAGGCACCTTGTAATCTAAAAAATGTCCTCAGTGAGCACCCCACACAGACCTCATCCTTATTTAGACATGTGTGGTTCTTTCAGGTACAGACGAGCAGGCAATTATAGATGTTGTGGCTAATCGTTCCAATGACCAAAGGCAAAAAATTAAAGCAGCTTTTAAGACCATGTATGGCAAGGTATGTTTTGTTTTGTTTCATTTTCTTTTTAGGAGTTAGCAAGATCAGTGGCCTATAGGCCCTTAATTCTGTCAGGTTGGATACTATATTTTTATTAGTACTGATAAATATAAAGTCGAGACAGCTAGACTTCAGAGACCCCAGAAGAGGTGTATTCAATATTTATTTCTCTTAAAAGCCTTTCCAATTCTCTCCAATAATCATACCCATTTACTATGTCTGGTAGGTGACACATATTCAGTAGAAAGTAGATTATGACCATAATCATAATCAGTAGCTTGGTTCTCAATCTTCTCCTTAAAGTGGGATTCAAGGACTTCTTATGTGGCCCTTGCTTATTCTTGGCCCTTGGCATCATCTTTCACTTCTCTCCCTCCTTCTAAACATATCCTGTTTTACAGTTTTATAGAACCTCTTCCCGTTTCCTGCACACATGCTTCTGTGGTTGATATATGTTGTTTTCTTGTCCTGGAATACCTTTTCCTCTTTTGCTGCATGGCAAATAAGCTCTCCAGGATTTGGCTTGTTTAAGCTACTTTGTGAAGTTTCTCTCATTGCTCTGGGTATAATTTGGCTGCTTCTTCCACTGTGATCTCATAGCACTTCGTAAAACCTCTGCTGTAACTAATCTCAGTGCCCACTCCCTAAAAACTGTGAGCTGCCCTAGGGCAAAGCATGTCATATTCATCTTTGTGTTTATAGTACCAAGTACAGGAACAATAACAGATAGCTGCATAAATACTTGTTGAGTGGATGATCAGTGACTAAATCCAGCAAGGTTCTATGGCTGACAGGTGCCATCGCTTCTTAAACATAAAGGGCAAGAGGGGGTAGCATTGGTTTGTCATTCAGATAGGAGTCCTAAAAATTTTCTGACATTCTCTGCATCCATTTAACTTTTCTCAGAATGGGAGTAGAGGTCCACTGACCTGATTCATCTTTTCCATTCTGCTTCCCCTCTCTGCCCAACCCAGAGTCCACTTCCATAGTCTTAAGGATGCTTAAGCGACACAAGCCCTAGGTTTCCTTAGGATTCACATCAGACTCATTTTTCTCACAAAAATATTTTTTGTATTATGAATTTCTTTAGTTCACATGTAGTCTGTGCTTTGTTGTCCTAAATTTTCTCATGTATCACTTTTGAATTAAAACTAAATTCCCAGACTATTGTCGTTATCCACCGCCACTTTTTCTCTGGACTTCTTACTAATAAAAACACTGTTCCTCTAGCCAGCTGTGGAGTCTTTGACCCCACATTCTTCTTTCTCAGTCAGTCAGTGAATATTGTTTCAGTGCCTATGTATACCAGGCCCTGCTTTGTCCTGGCAACTGGTTATTGCTTGTCTTGTTGATCTAATCTGTAAAAAGGCTCTTTAGAAATGTGTCTTCTATCTCCATTTTTTCCTTTCCACTTTCATTGTAACCACTCAAACCCAAACCTTTATTACTCTTTATCTAAATATGCCAGTAGGCTAAATTTCATATATATCTTTGGTCATTATAATCCATACTGCCTGTTGTTTTCTTATATAAAAATTTTCAGTGACTCCTCCCAGCATGCAGAATCAAATCCATGTTCTTTAGCTTGGTATTCAAGGTAATAATCCAAGAATATAGTTACAACTTTGTTTTACTAATGTCTAAAAACATTATTCTTAACAAAATTGGTTGTCTTATTGTCCCATTGAATAAGCTCTGCTCATTCTTGAGTCTATACTAAGTAATTCTCAACCTGAGCAGAATATCATAATTTCTTTTCAAACTTAAAAACACATGCAGCATCTCTGAGTATTCATTCTTGACATGAATTTTTTTTTTTTTTAGAAAAATTCTGCAGATTATTTTAATGCATATAGCCAAGGCTAGGAGCAGCTTTTCTGTTCTTGTTTGTGTTCCTCCTCCTCACCTGAAATATCTTTCTCCTTTCTCTTTGCTAATTTTCACATACTCTTCAATATCTTCACTAAAGTTTTCTCTGAAGCTCTCTAGCCCACTTTTAACTTTTCCTATTTCAACTTATTTCTGTGCTACTTATTCATCTGGTGCTGGAGAGCAGGCTGCTTTAGTTTAGTTTTTAGATGTTTGTCTTCTCTTCTCAAGTAAGAACACAATGATGATGATTTCTGCTTCCTCATAAAAGAAGAACCGTTTCTTATACTAAGTAAATACCTGTTTATCATTTTGTTAATTTGAATTATTCTTTGTTTCCTATTCCTCTTATTTTGTACCTGATGTAGTGGCAGAACTACAGTAAGTTTATTATTAAGTATTTATTGATAGAACAACTAAAATATATCTTCTTGAATGTAATGCGCTTAAATACTAATTCTGTAGTGTATGATATTCTGAAGAGAAATTGAGGTTTTCTTAAAGTAGTTCAATTCCATTTTTCTCATATTTTTCTTAAAATAATTAAGCAAAACAAAATTTGGAGAGCTCGTGTACTGGATTTGTGTTTGTAATGCCACAGGATTTAATCAAAGATCTTAAATCAGAGTTAAGTGGGAATATGGAAGAACTGATCCTTGCCCTCTTCATGCCGCCTACGTATTATGATGCCTGGAGTTTACGGAATGCGATGAAGGTACTATATGGCATTTACTTTGAGTAGTTTATCCTATTTCGAATGTAAAACCCCATAAATTATGGCAGTTCTGAGTTTACAGTGACAGGTAAACCAATACATTATTTTATATCATCTTGAGTGTATAGAGCTTTTCAGTCTGGAGGCCAAAGTTATGTTTGATGGAACATAAAGATTTAATAACTTGCAGAAATTTGCTTTTTGTTTATAATTCTCTCTCATTCTCCCTTCATTTCACATAGGGAGCAGGAACTCAGGAACGTGTGTTGATTGAAATTTTGTGCTCAAGAACAAACCAGGAAATCCGAGAAATAGTCAGATGTTATCAATCAGAATTTGGACGAGACCTTGAAAAGGACATTAGGTCAGATACATCAGGGCATTTTGAACGTTTACTTGTATCCATGTGCCAGGTGAGTATTGAATTAAGTGTCTGAGTGTTGGTGGAGGGAACATTCTTTACTGCCTGCTGCCAGTGGGCATTCTTTGTTCCTTTTAATATCTAGCCCCCTTGGAATCTTGACATCTTTAAGAGGGACAACAGAGAATCCTCTGTATGGGTTTCTTTGTTTCTGTATTGAAAATTATTTCTGCAAATCTGGTTGTAAGGAATCAGCAGTTAACCACATGAAGGTTGTATGAAATCAGAGATCATCTTGAGGCTCTGTGTCTTAGAATGAAGATGAATCTATACTTTTAAGCTTAGCATTGTACTGCCAGGTAATTGGGACCATCAGCTGAAGATATGCAGGTCTGCCATGCCAAGTTAGACGAGAGTGAGACAGAAATTCAGAAAACATTTCAGCATTCACTGAAATACTGTGCTTAAGTACCTTCCTTGTTCTGATTCCCCAGATGTGCTGGCAAAGTTGCAGAAAATTCTCCAAATAGGGTATTTGCAATGATACTATAAATAATCAGGGTATATTTGAAAGAGATGATGCAAAAGACTAGCACACTGATTCAGTATCAGGAGTTACTGGCTATCCTGCTAGTGCACAAGGTTGGACAGTCTTGAAGACTCTAAAAGTAGAGGCGAGGCTCTCAGAGCAAAAGGATATAGTTGCAGAAAGGACAGTGTGCCAGAGTGTGTGGGTATGGAGATGAGGAAACAAAGCAAATGGGTGAGAGGACATTGAACTTACCGAACAGAGCTAGCGTGAAAAGAAAATCAGAAACAGAGATTTAATGCTCAAAAACAGTTATTCAGACTTTAATGAGGTGCTGGATGTCTTTTTATGCAGGGTTCAAGGCCCAACCATTTTACAAAATAAAGGACCCTCTTCCAGGAAGTAGCTTTTTAGGACAATGAGACCTTACTGTGTGCTTGAATCCAAAGGCAGTCATTTGGGGAGTCGTTGCGCTCCTTTGCCTCCTACCCCTCTAGAATAATAGGCTTCTACACATTGCTTGTGCCAGTGCTCTTGAGAAAGCAGTTCCTCAACCTTCAAGGAACACGCCTCCATTTTGTTCCTCAGACAGACACTAAGACTCTAGAGGGCGACCTTTCCCTTGTTTGGGTTTGTGTTTCTGTTTTAGAAAGAAACCAACTACCCATCTAAGCTTTACTCTTATTCAGGCCCAGAGCTTCCTCTCTCTCTCTCTCTCCCCCATCCCATCCCAGGGAAGAGTTTGGTCTATAAATTGACACAGACTGTCAGTACTTGTGTTATTGATAACTTCTTCTTAAAGTCTCTCGCATCATTTTTATGCATACATTCATAATAAATACTTACATATTAAGATTACACTTGGAGGAATGAAAGGAAGTTCACAAAGCCTCTATATTATATGCTTCTTCTTTTGGCTTAACTTCATTGGAGGGAGGGGCCTTGTCTTTTCTTGTGTCCCGACCACATTAGCACATCCTGTTGGTTCTGTTCCTCTGGAGAACCCTGACTAATACACCCTGGTACAAAATAAGTGCTCCATACCTTTTAGGTACATGGTGAATATAAAGTGAAACTCAGTATAATGCTGATCTTAAATCCCAGCTAAGCAGAATCATACTTTGTTAATTTGAGTGGTAGTTCATATCTCCTAGGAGATGAGGTCCTCAAAGATGGCTTAGGAGTCGCTTCATCATGAGAAATCTAAACTTACTTCAGACCTTGGAGTTCAGGGATATCCAGCTTCTAGGACATCTCAGTGCATCTCTCCCCAGGCTAGACAAGAGACAGTGCTCACTGGCTCAGAACATGGACTGATAGAAGGAGACCCTATCACAAGAGAAGCGAAAATTCTTTTGATGAAATTTTCTTTTGAAAATTCCTTTGATGGCCGTGGGATTTCTTCCAGAGGGTGGAAGTGGCTGCATTGTTAGTGTTCAGGACTTGCTGGATCATGAGTCTTTGTGTGTGGCCACAGCCTCTGGAGGTGCTGTAGTTTGCAGTTTCAATACATACCAGTCTCTTTCTCCTGGCTCAGATAATCATTTCCAATCTCTGTGGTTTGTATCATACCTAGACTTTTAATACCTGCTACTGGAGAAATGTTTATTGAATAAAAACAAAAAAACCCCGCAGCTTGTAAACCAAGGATCAAACCCAAAAGAGTGATTTCTTTAAGAATCCCTGTCTCTTTAGTCTCTTGAGTAAGCTTTTTAAACTGAATGTCAGTAAAATTTTCTATACCTTCAAAAGTAAAATGTCTGTGTAATTTTTTATGGAAACGTTTTCTAATTTAGCTCTCAAAGCCCTGTAAAACCTCTTGTTTTAATATAACCTCATCAAACCATGGTCATACATTATAAAATCCACAGTTGGCAATGTAATAAAATACTCGTTACACTAGTATAGTTTCTTTGGAAATGAAAGATAAGCGTGACAAACTTTATGCATTAATTTTTAGTAAATTGTCCTTTTAAATTCAAAAGTGACCAGATTGGAAAACCTTGTTTTAAAAATAGAACTTGTATCACTTGCTTCTGACTCCTGCTTTCCTCTTTTTGCAGGGAAATCGTGATGAGAACCAGAATGTTAACCACCAGCTGGCTCAGGAAGATGCTCAACGTCTCTACCAGGCTGGTGAGGGGAGACTAGGGACAGATGAGTCTTGCTTTAACATGGTTCTTGCCACAAGAAGCTTTCCTCAGCTGAAAGCTACCATGGAGGCCTATTCCAGGGTATGAGCTTTTCTTTTGAAGATTTTGCTTCTATTTTAAGGTGTCAAAATATTTCAGCCCCTATACTTTCTTGTTACAGATGGCTAATCGAGATTTGTTAAGCAGTGTCAGCCGTGAGTTTTCCGGAAATGTTGAAAGCGGTTTGAAAACCATCTGTAAGACACTTTTTACGTTCCTGTGTTTTGCTTCGTTTTGTTTGTAAATGAGGGAGGCTTTGAAGAGTTGTTCCCATTAAGTGGTGATTCTTAGTATAGCCTCCCTGGAGTCTGCTTAGGCAGAGACAAGCTAATCCTACGTTTTTATATGCAGTTCCCTATGAATGGTTGGTGGTGTAATCAAATAGGATTGTTTTGGAATTATTTGGTCGTTATTCTCTATGCCCTTCTTGAGGACTATACAAAACTGTATAATGGATTGTAGCATTTCCATTAAGGTAAATGGGAAAGCCCTAAGGAAACCACAGAGTGCCACCACACAAAGTATCATTTTGAGCCCCCAAGTGTCTTTCAAGTATTTAGCCAAATGAGACCCTTTTCCATTTGAAATTAAAAACCCAGTTTTTGGTGTCCTGACATCCAGAAGCTTAATGAAATGGAAATTTTGTTCTCATGGAGAATATAAGACTAAAGAGAATATTAGTAACACACTGGTATTAGCAATTGAATATCTTATAAATACTACTATTGTAATTGTAGCTAACACAATAATGTACAGTTAGTCCATCTCTATGAAAGGTAGAGCCTTTGCTAATTTAATTTTCCTAAGAGAAAACATGTCATATTTCTTATCATTCTCAAGTCTGTGTTTTCTTATTTATATTGGAATCTATCTTACATCCTTCTTTCAGTCAAATGATACATTTGACATCTAGAATTCAGATTTTAGTCATTATTCCGTTTAGTTAGGTATAACCAGGGTACAGTTGCTACAGATTTTCTCATGTTAAGGGGGAAAATGTTAAGAATCTTAAGTGACTGCATCTGTGGAGAGAAAATAGGTACTGGCCAGAGGGAACCTTGTAGAATTGAAGGTAGACTGTCTGATGCAGCTGGAAAGAAAGATGGGTGCTGAGAAAAATCAAGGGGGAGAGCATTCTACAAGTCACTTAAGATTTCTGAGATAATTACATAGGAAATGATCAAAAGCAGCTGGAAGTGATAGATGAAGCTGGTGTGTGGACATCTCTGTCAGGTCATGATTTCACGTCTGAAGCCTCTGTCATTTTCAGTGCAGTGTGCCCTGAACCGCCCTGCCTTCTTTGCTGAGAGGCTCTACTATTCTATGAAAGGCGCCGGCACTGATGACTCCACCCTGGTCAGGATTGTGGTCACTCGAAGTGAGGTGAGGCGCTCTCTTTTTGTCTGATCTTCACTTGATTTTGAATGTTGATTCTTTTTTCTTAGCAATATTAAACACAATTTTTCTTCTAGTTTTATTGCGATGTAATTGACATACCTCACTGTATAAACTTAAGGTGTGCTGCATAGAGATTTGACTTACATACATCATGAAGTGATTATCACAGCAAATTTAATGAACATCCATCATCTTATAAAATACGAGATTAAAGGAAAATATTTTTCCTTGTGACGAGAACTTTTAGGATTTACTCTCTACAACATAAAGCAGTGTTAATTATATTTATTACATTGTATATTACACCCCTAGTAACTTATCTTGTAACTGGAAGTTTGTACCTTTTGATTGTCTTTCTCTAGTCTGCCTCCCTCAATCCGCTACCTCTAGTAACCGCAAATCTTATTATCTTTTTGTATGAGTTTGTTCGTTTTTGACATGTATTTGCTACAGTACTCTGCTGGTTTCTGTTACAAAGCATAGTGATTTGATATTTCTGTACATTTTAAAAGGATTCCCATGAAAAGTCTAATTATGACATATCACCATACAAAAATATTACATAGTTATTGACTGTATTCCCCACTCATTCATACTCTTCCCTCATTTATTTTGCAACTGGGAGTTTGTACCTCTCACTCTTTCACCTATTTCTTTCCTGCCCCCAACCCCCTCCCTTCTGGCAGTTACCTGTTTGTTCTTTGTGTCTATAACTCTGTTTTGTTGTATTTGTTCATTTGTTTTTTAGATTCTGCATGTAAGTGAAATCATACAACATTTGTCTTTCTCTGTCTCACTTAGAATGTTAGTTTCTTAAAAGTTCCTCCTCTGGTTGTCAGTCCATGAGTGACGTTAAGAAAGAGCTCTCTTTTTCACTGCTGGTAGAAGTTGTATAAAGCATAGTGTTCACCTTCTTCCTGCTGTGAGAGGCTTGCTTTGGTGAAACAGACTGCCAGGGAATTCAAGAAGAGGTTTATCTTTGGGTTTTCATTTTGCTCATGTAAAAAGCTGTATGAGGGAATTCCCTGGTGGTCTAGTGGTTAGCGTTCGGCACTTTCACTGCCAGGTTCAGCAGTCAGGGAATTGCGATCCTGCAAGCGTGAGGCATGGCCAAAAAAAAAAAAAAACCAACAAAAGGCTGTATGAAAGACCTATGCAGATTAATCCTATTGGACATAAAAATTCTTAAAATTTAGCAGCACTATATAATAAAATAACTTAAAAGTTTTATCTTTATCTTTTTACTTAAATATAGCCTCAGATGTATTCCTTTCTTTGACTTTGTATATTTAGTAGACTTTTTTTAATTGAAAGAAAGCATATACTACAAAATTATATGAAAGAAGGTAAATCATTTTTTAAAAGACAACTATAATACAATATTTGGAAAAACTTTGTTGTGTCTTTGTTTTTAGACTTAAATTTTCTAAGCAAGATCTCTTTTTCTTTAATTATAATAAAATACACATAACACAAAATTAACATTTTAATCACTTTTAAGTGTAAAGTTCTGTGACATTAAGTACAACCATTACCACCAGAACTTTTTCAACGTACAAAACTGAAAATCTGTATTCATTAAACAATAATTCACCATTCTTTTTGCTTCCCAACTCCTAGCAGCCACCATCCTATCTTATGTATTACAATATTTGACTACTCTAGTTAATTTATATAAGTGAAATCATAAAGTATTTGTCCTTTTTAACATTTTTAGGTTCATCCACATTGTAGCACGTGTAAGAATTTCCTCCTTTTCTAAGGCTGAATAATATTCCATTGTATGTATACATTGTGCTTAGTCATGTCCGGCTCTTTGCGACCCCATGAACTGTAGCCTGCCAGCCTCCTCTGTCCATGGAATTTTCCAGGCAAGAATACTGGAGTGGGTTGCCATTTCCTTCTCCAAGGAATGTATACACTACCTTTTGTTTATCCATTCATCCGTCAGTGGACACTTGGGTTGCATCCACCCTTTGACTGTTGTGAATAATGCTGCTTTTAACATGAGTGTACAGATATTTGAGCCTGTGCTTTCTCTTTTGTGGATACTCAGAAGTGCAATGGTTGTGTCATATGGTAATTCTGTTTTTATTTATTTGAGTAATTACTATACTGTTTTCCAGTGGCTGCACCATTTTACATTCCTACCAGCAGTGAACGGGGATTCCAACTTCTCTGCATCCTGACCAACACTTTGCTAGTGCTGGTATAAATGCTAGCTATAAAATGTCAGTCCGTTGGTGTTTTTTCCCCTCTGCTTTGGTTATAATTAGGATCTTTTCACTATTAAAGAATAATTTTAATAAATTATCAGTTTTCTTTAACAACTTTTTTCTAATATCACAAATATCATGTCTTGTATGCAGATTGATCTTGTGCAGATAAAACAGATGTTCAGTCAGATGTATCAGAAGACGCTGGGCACAGTGATTGCAAGTGACACGAGTGGAGATTACCGAAAGCTTCTTCTGGCCATTGTGGGCCAGTAGGAGAGATTTTTATAAATGAATGAAGCTATTCAAAGCTTATCCTTCAAAGCAATGACTGACCTGCATGCAGCAACATCAACCTTCACCTAACCAAAAGAGCTTTTACTAAGGACTGTGTCAGGGTATTGTGCTTGGTTTGCACAGGTGGTTATTGCCTTAATTCCAATGTTATTTTTTTCTCTATGTACAATCAAGTAAAGCCATATCACAATGATGAAGTAATAATGCAATGTTTGTAAAGCCTAATTCTCACTGCTCTTATTCTAAATGAGGTACCAAATTGAGTAACAGTCACAACAGTTTCAAATTCTGTGTAATAATATTGAATAAATTTGAATAAATAATATTGAACATTAGAAAAAACCCTTTGCTTTCCATTGGACAGTTATAGTTGGTAATATGTCAAAACTATATTACTTTTTAAAACAAATTCAGCTGTTTTGACCTAGAAGAGTAATTTGCATCTTACTTCACATAAATTAGTATTCTATATTCATAAACGCTGAACTTCCCACATAGAAAATAGTTTAGTATTGGCTGTAGCAGCTTTTTAAAAAGAGATTATATGTTTATATTCCTAAAATATATAGCCTACTTTTATGTCTGCTAAGACTGCCTATAGATCTTTATTGGCCCTTGATTTCTTAAAAAAAATTATAAAATAATTCTAGTTGCAGTTTAATCATGATTCAAGAAAATGAAGCTTGGCACATAAAAGGTGCCAAATTAGTGAATGAATGAAGCTTAAATCATCTTCCTGGGAGATTGAATATTAGTTCTTTGGAGAAGTAGTTCAGGAACTCAGTGCTATAGCAGTGTGCTTTCAAACCTGGGTTTATTCCCAGTACTGAGCAATTGCTTATTATGTTGAGCATTACAATAGGTAGTTAGGGAAACTACAAAGGAAGGAGGTTTGTAATCTAGTGGGGGATCTAAACAAAAATTAGGATACAAGGGTATTGTTAGATTATAAATTCTTCTGAGAATAATAACCCTATTTGTTCTTTTTGTTGAACTCCCTGGCACAAAGCAGATATTTAATATATATATGGTGAATGATTGTACTAAAAATTGAGGGAAAGAATAATAAATATCAATTGTAATTCAGTGAACATTTGTTTGGTGTAAGTGCCAAGGGACATACATGCAAGGTGGTATAAGACACAACCTTACTCTTAGAGAGATAGGCCTATGTACAACTGTAGTGTAAGGTGAAAGCAAGACACATTGGTAGAAGGATAATAGGCCAAGATAGATTTCTGACATAGATTTTGGAAAAGTAACTAACAGCAATGGGATTTGGTAAAGGAAAAGGGGTGTAAGTTATTAAGGAAAGAAAATTTGTGAGAATTATATTTTTGAATGTTTAAAGATTGAGATATAACTCATATATCATATGATTCATCCTTTTAAAGTGTACAATTTAGTGGGTTTTTAGGATATTCACACACTTGTGCAATAGTCACCACAATCAATTTTTGAATATTTTCATCACCCAAAAAGAGAACTTCCACCCATTAGCAGTCAGTCCTTCTTTCCTTTCTTCCTGCCTGTCCCCTGGCAATCACTAATCTACCTTCTGTCTTTGTGGATTTCCCTGTTGCGGGCTTTACGTATAAATAGAATTATACAATGTGTGGCCCTTTGTGTCTGGCTTCTTTTAATTAACGTACTGTTTTTAAGGTTCACCTGTGTTGTAGCATGGTTCACCTGTGTTGTAGCATGAATCAGTATTTCATTCTGTTTATGGCTGAATAATCCATTGTTTGGATCTACATTTTGCTTGTCCGTTTATCAGTTGATGGACATTTAGGTTGTTTTTACCTATTTACCATTATGAATAATGCTGCTATGAATATTCATGCACAAGCTTTTCTGTGGACACAAGTTTTCAATTCTCTTGGCTATAATAACAGGAGAGGAATTGCTGGTAGTAGTATCTTTAACTTTTTGAGGATCTGCCAAACTGTTTTCCAAAGCAGCTGTACCATTTTACAGTCCTACCATCAATGAATGAGGCTTCCAATGTCTCTTCATTCTTACCGACACTATCATTGTCTCTTTGATTCTAACCATCCTAGTGGATGTAAAGTGGCATCTCATTGCAGTTTTGATTTGCATTTCCCTAATAACTAATGAATATATTTTCTTGACTGGCCATATTTTCTTGATTATCCATTTGCATATCTTCTTTGGGAAAATATCTATTAAAATGCCTGTTTTTAAACTGGGTTATTGAGAATTCCCTGGCAATCCAGTGGTTAGGACTCCATGCTGCTGCTGCTGGAGGCCCAGGTTTGATCCCCTGTTTGGGAAACTAAGATCCCACAAACCATGTGGTCCCAAAAAAGACTACGATGTGTAAGGTAGGATAGTTATCTCAGCATAAATTCAGTCACAATCTTCACTTGGGAAAAAATCCAGGGAGAAACGTATTACTCAACAGTTACATGTTTTTATTTTTGAGAACTTTTATGACTTATAACACTAACTTTAAAAGCATTTTTCTCAATTTTTATAATTTTAATATGTTTATTAGCAGAAATGCAATTTATTTTTAAAATTAGACTCATGACTATCCATGGAAAATAATGTGTGAGTGTGTGTATAGTTTAATAATTTGTTTTGAAATAATTTCAAATGTATAGAAGAATTGCTAGGACAGTACAAAGAACTCCCATGTCCTCTTTACCTAGATTCTAATACAGTTAATATTTTATTGGGTCTTTACTTACTCTGAGTGTGTGTGTGCATGCATATGTCTTTTGTTATTAGTCTTTATCTGAACTGTTGGTGGGTTGAGAGAGCAAACTGCAGTCATCCTGTCCCATCACTCCTAAACACTCCAGTGGGTGTTTTCCCCTAAAGAGGATCACTCTTCTACATAATGGCAAACAATCTTCCACATCAGTAAATCAATATTGGTACAACACTACCACCCAATCTATTAAGCCTATTCAAATTTCACCCACTATCCCAACAATGTCTCTTTTCATTTCTGGGTCAACATCCTGTACAGGAATATGTACTGCATTTAGTTGTGTATTTTCAGACTCCTTTAATCTGAAAGAGTTGCCAGTCTTTTGTAGCATTTACAGTTTTATTAAAAGGTACAAGCTTTTATTATAGGATGGCTTACAACCTGGGTCCTTTGTCTGTAGGAATACCACAAAATGATGCTTTGCTTTTCTCAGTGAGTCTCATCAGGAGGCATAAAATGTAGACTCCTCCCGACACTGGTGATGTTAACCTTGATCACTTGATCATGCTGGCTTCTTAAATTCAGTTTTTCCTTTGTAATTGATTAGTATTCCAAAATCATGCCAGTAAACTATTCCTTATCAAACATCCACATACCAGCCTTAGCACTGAAGACCCCTGTCTAAATCATCCACTTCTATAGTTGGTGCCAAGTGGTAATTCTCTGTTTCAATCATTTCTTCTCCATTATTGGATTAGCATTCAACTGCTATAAAGAGTTTGCCTTTCTCTTCATCATATCAGTGTGAACTTGTGTATTCCTATCTTATTCAACAGATTGTAATCCATTATTGTTTACTTTGATGTTCAAATTGTCTGATTTGGCCAGGAGCCCCCCTCAAGTGGCTCCTAACAGTGCAACATTTTAAAGTGTGTATACTGCTAAGATTCATTCACATGGTGAATAGCTATAGTTAATTCATTTCGACTGCTTTGTAATATGCGATTTTTTGAATATATTATCACTGTGTTCATCCACTGTTCCTTTGGGTTGTTTCCAGGTTTTTGCTATTGTATTTTGCCTTTCCAACTCTGAGGTAATGCTCAATTTCAAATGTATTAAATTTTTCCATTAACATCATATACTTGGAGTCTGTTTATTGTGTAAATATTGCACACTAGAAGCAGAGTGGTTTTGCATTCTTCCCAACAGTGTGTGAGACGCTTACTTTGCAAATATTGTCTTAGCTGCATTTTTCACGGAGAAAGACTTAAATGATCTGTTTTCAAAATCGTTTAATAAAGATTTTTATCTTTAAACAAATTTCCTTTTGGTTTGTCTATTTATGGAGGGCTATTGAAAGAAAGGAGTCGAGAAAGCAAACTCGAAAGTGGAAAACTTTGTACTTAGCCAACACTGTGGGTAAGGGAAAGTGGCATCTACGAAAATAAGAAACCACAGCCGGACACGGAGGCTGTGGCTCAGGCGCAAGGTTTCCAGGGCGCACGCATCCTTCTTTCTACCCCGGGGCAATGTTATCGCGAGTCTTGGGATCAACTTGTGGTGATCGCGGAGGCAGAGTCATCGCGAGAGGTAATTGGTTGCTATAGTTGCGAGAAACGCTTCTGCGGCTGTTAGGTAAGACTGATATTACTCCTTAGAAAATCGTCTCTTTTCGGGCTCACCACTCCAACCCTGCGGCCACACCGCGTTACCTTAGTCTCTTCTTCAGCCTAACCCACAGGCCACATCCCTGCCCCACTGTACTCGCGTACAGACCTGAAAACTGCCGAACCCGCTAGGCCCCCGACTCTCCCGCCAGGCTCAGGCCTCCCACCCAAAGCCACACTCAGAACCCACTTCCCGGTTTGCGCCGAGATTCCCCCACAATAAGCGCACACTGGGCTTCTGTCCCCAGACCACCGCCAGTAACATCATCTTTCATGTAAACTGTTCCTTTTTCGTTGTTTTTAGCTATTTAAAATTTTTTATTATATTAAAAATTTTAAGATTGTAGTATAGATTTAATGTAGTGCATCTAACCTATTTCTAATCTGACTTCCCCTCCTGAAACTTCTGAGCAGATAACAAGAAATGCGTGCCTTGTCAGTGGCAACAGGAGCACCCACCTGACTGCCTTGACTATAACTTTTAGCTGGCCAGATTTCTTGCACTCATCGTTTAACAAATATGCTGCTAATGACTGTTGCAGACAAGGCATGATGCCAGGCACTCAGGGGCTGCAGAAATGTGTGACAGATTACTTGTCTTTAAAGGAGTAATTGAGCATTCAGTAGCA